ACAGATGTACAGATGTTACAGATGTACAGATGTTACAGATGTACAGAGATACCTGAGGGATCATCCAGTGAAGCTATATGGGTGGAACTGAGAAATGAGAAGGGGTGATCGCTGTGATAGAATTGTCCTATAGGCCCCACAGTAGTCCAGTGAAAAATTGAAGAGCAAATATGTAGGGAGATTGCAGAAATGTAGGGTTGTAATAGTAGGGGATTTTAATTTTCCAAACATAAACTGGGACTGCCATAGTTTTAAAGGCTTGGATGGGGAGGAAATCGTTAATTGTGTCCAGGAAAACTTTCTCAATCAATATGTAGATGGCCTGACTAGAGAAGGGGCAAAACCTGACCTCCTCTTGGAAAATAAGGCAGGGCAATTAACTGAGATGTTAGTGGGGGAGCATTTTGGAAATAATGACCGTTAGATCTGGTCCATAAGTTAAACTCCTAAATTGGGACAAGGCCAATTTTGATGATATTAGATAGAAATTTTCAAGAGTTGATTGGGGGAGACTGTTCACAGTAAAGAGCCATCTGGCAAGGGGGAGTCTTTCAAAAGCGTGATAAGGAGAGTTCAGGGCCAACATGTTCCTGTTAGTGTGAAGGACAAGGTTGGCATGAGTGGGGAATACTGGATGACTAGAGATATTAAGGCTCTGGTTAAGAAAAATAAGAAAGCACATGTCAAGTATGGGCAACGCGGTTGCTCAGTGGTTAGCACTGCTGCCTCACAGCGCCAGAGACCCAGGTTCAATTCCAGTCTTTGGGCGACTATCTGTATGGAGTTTGCACATTCTCCCAGTGTCTGTGTGGGTTTCCTCCGGGTGCTCTGGTTTTCTCCCACAGACCAAAGAAGTGCAGGTAAGGTGGATTGACTGTGCGAAATTTGTCCATAATATCCAGGGATGTGCAGACTAGCCATGGGAAATGCAGGGTTACAGGGATAGCTTGGGTATGAGTAGTCAGAGGTCAGTGTCAACTTGATGGGCCGAATAGCCAGCTTCCATACTGTAGGGATTCTATGATTCTAGGTATAGATAGCTTGGATCAAGTGAATCCCTTGAGGAGTATAGGGGTGTAAGAGAGAAATCAGGAGGGAAAAAAGGGGACATGAGTTAGCTTTGGCAGTTAGGATGTTGGAGAATCTAAAGAGATTTTACAAGTGAAATAAGGACAAAAGAGTAATTACAGAGGGAATAGGGTCCCTTAAAGATCAACAAGGCTGTCTATGTGTGGAACCACATGAGATGGGTGAGATCCTAAACAAATATTTTTCATCAGTATTTACCATGGTGAAAGACATGGATGCTACAGAACTTGGGGAAATTAATAGTGATGTCTTGAAAAGCATCCACAAAACAGAAGAGGAGGTGCTGAAGATCTTAAAACGCATAAAAGTACATAAATCCCAGTTAGAGGGATGAGGGCCAAATGCTGGCAAATGGGACTAGATTAATTTAGGATATCTGGTCAGTATGGACAAGTTGGACCGAATGTCTGTTTCCGAGCTGTACATCTTTATAACTCTATGACTCTATAAGTGTATCCCAAAACACCGCAGGAAGCTAAGGAAGAAATTGCAGGGTCCCTAGCAGAGACATTTGTGTTATCAACAGCCATCGATGAGGTGCCAGAAGACTAATGTTGTGCCATTGTTTAAGAAAGGCTGCAAGGAAAAGCCCGGGAACTACAGACCGGTGGGCCTAACGTCAGTGGTGGGTAAGTTGTTGGAGTAGATTCTGAGAGGCAGGATTTGCATGCATTTGGAAAGGGCTGTTAAGGGCTAGTCAGCATGGATTTATGCGTGTGAAACCATGCCTCTCATATTTGATGACGTTTTTTTGAAGAGGTGACCAAGAACATAGATGTAGGCAGAGTGGTAGACATTGTCCACACGGACTTTAGCAAAGCCTTCAACAAGGTTATGCATGGTAGACTGGTTAGTAAGGTTGGATCACATGGGATCCAGGGAGAGTTAGCCAATTGGATACAAATTTGGCTTGACGGTAGGAGACAGAGGGTGCAGGTAGAGGGGTTGTTGTTCAGACTGGAGGCCTGTGACAAGTGGTGTGCCACAAGGCTTGGTGCTGGGCCCACTGTTGTTCGTCATTTATATAAGCAGTTTGGATGAGAATATATGATGCGTGGCTAAGTAAAGTTTGCGGATGACACCAAAATTGATGGTATAGTGGACAATGAAGAAGGATATCTAAGAGTACAATGGTATCTTGATCAACCGGGCCAGTGGGCTGAGGAGTGGCTGATGGAGTTTAATTTAGATAAATGCGAGGTGTTGCATTTTTGTAAGACAATCCAGGGCAGGACTTACACAGCTAATTTTTAGGGCCCTTAGGGAAGTGTTGTTGAACAGAAAGACCTAGGGGTGCAGGTACATAGTTGCTTGAAAGTGGTGTCAAATGTAGACAGAACGGTGAAGAAGGTGTTTAGCACATTACATTCATCTGTCAGGCATTGAGTACAGGAGTTGGAATTGGTAAGGCCACATTTTGGAGAATTGCATACAATTCTGGTCACCCTGCTGTAGGAAGGATGTTATTAAACCTGAAAGAGTGCAAAAAAGAATTACAAGGATGTTACCAAAAAGACTGGAAGGTTTGCTTTTTAAGGAGAGGCTGGATAGGCTCGGACTTTTTCCCTGGTGTGTAGGAGGCTGAGGAGTAACTTATAGACGTTTATAAAATCATGAGGGGCATAGATGAGGTCTTTTCCTCAGAACCTGAGGGACAACTTTTTAACACAGAGGGTGGTGTGTATATGGGACAAGCTGCCAAAGGAAGTAGTAGGGGCAAGTGCGATTACAACATTTGAAAGACATTTGGACAGGTACACGGATAGGAAAGGTTTCCAGGTATATGGGCCAAATGCAGGCAAATGAAATTAGTTCAGTATAGGAAACCTGGTTGACATGGACGAGTTGGGCAGAAGGGTCTACTTCCGTGTTCTATGTCTCTGTGATGCTAAGGTCTTCATTTTCCTGCAGGTATTTAGATGTTTATAGAACCCTGTTACCCCATTGCTGCGACCACATTCTGCACAGAAATGTTCACTTTGGAAGTGATGGTGATTACTCACATCAGAGCATTGAGATATATTTGCTCTGATGGTGACAGATGGGTTGCATAAAAAGGGAGGAAGTGTTTTAATTGGCAAACTCAGACCTGTTTCTCTGTACATATGATCAAGGAGTGTGAGTAGACATTCAGACCCTCAAACTTGCTATAGCATTCCCATCTACCCCCAAATAACCTTTCACCTATTACTTAACAAGAATCTGACCACCTCTTCCTTAGAAATATTCAAGGACTCTGCTTGCACTATCTTTTCAGGATGAGAGCAAGTTCCAAAGACTGTCAACCTTTTGAGAGGAATGTTTGTGCCTAATCTCTGTTTGAGATGGGTAACCCTTTATTTTTAGGCATTGGTCTCTAGTACTAGATTTTCCTATAAAACATCCACCCCGCCAAGTCCCCTAAAGATCTTGTATGTTTCAATGAAGTCACCTCTGATTCTTCTAAACTCCAGTGGATACAAGCCTAGTCTGTCCAACCTTTCCTTGTAAGACAACCCACCATTGCCAGGCATTAGTCTGGCAAACTAATACGTTTAAATTTGTCCTGAGGTAATGTAACCAATACTGCTATATGTTGCTATTTCAAAAGGCTCCATACTGTAGTCACCCTGATTGACAGCCGTCCCTTCCAAAAGGGAGGGGATAATTCTGAATGCTGCAGGACCTGTCACAGACAAAGGAGGGAGGAACGGAGTGAACCTAAGCATGAGACAATGAGGCCTTGATTGATTTACTGTTTCCCTTTTTATTGACGTTCCCCAAACCATGTATTATTGTTTCAATCATAGAAATAAACCCGCAGCAAAATCTCTTAAGACAGCGTCAAAAGTAGAGTATATGTAACAAAATTTTAAAAATGTGAGGGAATGCTTAACTATTTAATTCACAAACAAGCATGCAAGCTAGAAAGAAAGAGAAAGGGAACAAAGGGAGTTACAAATTATGACTTTCTCAAACATTTAAAATTTTGGCTATTAGTTTGAATCTTAGACTCCTAAGATAACAGTGTTGTCCAACTGGGATTCTGTCATTTTTCTGCAAGCTGGGATGTAAATGGATAGCAGTTGAAGGTGCAGCTGTATTTATTATCGTCTAAAAATTAGTTCATTTTGGCAGGCAAAGTCTGAGATTCTTTATCATCATGAGACTTTTGAGAAATACAGAGATTTGGAGAGCTGGCCTTCTCGCAGCAAGAGGCCTGGAGCTATGCTTCTCATTATTTAAAACAGCAACTAAGCTGAGAAGTCAAAACTGTGTACTTAATTCAACGAGAGCAGGTTTCAGTCATGTGACAGGATGGTTTATGCTAAGCTAATCATAGAAGTGAATTACAGTATTGTGAGGGGAAGAGGTGCTGATAGTCATCCCAGTGGCAAATTGGAATGCCATTACCATCCTGCTATCAGGCAGTTGGAATTTGTAATTTGTTTTATTCACTCATGGGACGTGGACATCACTGGCTGGGCCAGCATTTATTGCCCATCCCTAGTTGCCTTTGAGAAAGCGATGATGAGCTTCCTTCTTGAACCACTGCAATCATATGCTATAAGTAGACCCACAATGCTGCTAAGGAGAGAATTCCGCAATTGTTATCCAGTGACACTGAAGGAATGGGTTATATATTTCGAAGTCAGGATTATGTGTATTTTAAGAGGGGAACTTTCAGATGGTAGTGTTCCCTGTATCTGCTATCTTTGTCCTTCTAGATGGAAGTGGTCGTGGGTTTGGAAGGTGTGGTCTAAGGATCTTTGGTGAATTCGTCTGTCATTGTTTTCAGGGGAATCAGGACATCTCTAGGCAGTTTGTAGTCACAATAGGAAACAGGCCAAGTCTCCAAGAGTTAAATGAGGTATTAACGGACTAGCTGGTTTTGTGTTGCAGAGAGTTCTAACTAATTGTAACTGTGCAATTGTAGCTGCTACCTTAAAGCAGCATTGACCATTTTTTTAAAACGATTCAAACTGGACAAATAGTGAAGACAATATAGTTTTGCAAAAGAAGAAAATAGTATTTGATTTCTCTACAAGCCCTCTGACCAGGTAACAGGTTGGGTGGTTTGGAATCTTGAACAGGTCTATTGTGGGCAGAGGGAGGGGAGATCCTGATATGGAAAGCTTTGGGAAGGTGTGAGGAGGTATGTGATGGCATGAAGGAAGGTTGCTTAGTGACCTCTGAAGAAGTGGCTGTCTGCCAGCTGCCAGCCTCATTGGAATCTTTAAATAGTCCAACCTGCTCACTGTTCAGCTCTGTGAAACCTGACATCAGGCTAGTTGGGTGGGTTTATAATTCAAAATATATTTACCTCTCATCCAAGCCCAACCTACGCATTTTTAAGGTTATTGTTGCTCCCATCGCAGGAGCATGTCTTCTGTGATTTCGAAGGTATCTTGAATTCTGGTATTCTTTGAGTTGATTCTTTTTAATCAGACTGCCTGATATCTGACGATGGGATTTGATGTTGCATCATTGTTCGAGCTGTGTGCCAGTGTGTGCTAAATGTTTCTCCTGTGGACCTGGGTCCACATTTAATCCAATTAGATGGTATTGACTTGGGAGAGGTAAGGTGCAACAACAACAGGCCTTCACACTGCTTTCTATTTATGCTGAGGCCAAAATATATCACGTTGCCCATCGATGAATGGAAACCCATCAAACCTCTGCTTCTAAATGACTAAACAGTCATGTCTTATTGGGATGTGACTGGAATGGTTATATTTCACATTGCCTGGCTTCACACATCCTAAAACCATAACAGTTATATAATAGATTCCTGTAACTACGTTCAGCTTACATTTTGTTTTGTCAAACCCGAACGAATAGGACAAATGACACAATACTTTTTACAGTTTGATCCCTAGCTTCTCACTGAATGTCCCCACCAATGATGGCATTGTCTTGGGTCAAAGAAGCGAACAAGATTAAATCTGTAGCTGAAATGGGAGAAGCTTTGCTCTGCTCTGGTTTAATAGGGGAACGTTCCCAAGTTCCTTTTCATCCCTCCGTCCTACTGCCGTTCCCAAATATAGACGTGCTGAGTGGTCTGTTTCTTAGTGAAAGTTCCACAACATCAGGATTTGCAATAAAATGTAAATGTACCATTGCCTCATTTACAGCTTTCCTGAATATGTATGAGGATCATCACAGCACCACTCTGAGAAAGAAGGCACTCACAGAACTCTATGACCACATCGTAGCTGATGACAGATTCACAAAGTGCATTAGCATCGGACCGGTATGTGTCTGTCTCAAAGGATTTGATTATGATGTAGTGCTGGGGCTGTTAGTTTTTGTGAAGATGGTAAATTCGTTCAAGTTTGATCTGTTTCTAACTGTTTTCCTAGTTACTTTGGATAAGTATAGAAACTTAGTCCAAACTATGTATTCTGGATGTTTGTTTATCACTGTTTATTATCAGTAACTGAGTTAATGCAATTATGAAGGAGACAAACATGGAAGGAATGGGAAACTAGCTATGACAGAACTAGCTGAGAATGCCATAAATTAAGGAAATGTTAGAATAATCAAGATTCTCTTTTGACATTGGACAAAAAGATGTCATAGACGATGAGAAGAGCAGGAACAAACATCAGGATAAACTTTCTTGGCTGTAATGTTGCAGATTTAGCTCTAACAATAAAACACAAGTTTATTATGCAAAAGAAATGAAAACTCAGAATAAACCGAAGTATTTACGTATAATGCATATTTTAAAAATTTTGACACACATGAGAAAATTTCCTCCCTAAAGGCGTTGTGGGTCAGCCTACAGAATATGGATTGCAGTGGTTCAAGAAAGCAGCTCATCACCACCTCCTCCAGGGCAGCTGCGGGTGGGCAATAAATGCTGGCCAACCAAAGACGCTGATGTCGCATGAGTGAATAAAATAACTAAGGGTACTGATGAAGGGTCACTAGACCCAAAATGTTAATTCTGATTTCTTTTCACAGATGCTGCCAGACCTGCTGAGCTTTTTCAGGAATTTCTGTTTTATTTCTGATTTACAGCATCTGCATTTCTTTCGATTTTTAAAAAGAAAACACAATGCTGTTAATCCAAAAGCACTCATTTACAGTATTAACGCCTCTTCCTTGTGTCTTTAAACAACTGAGCATTCTCAGCTGCAAATAACGCCTCCAGGGTTTTAGCCAACCACTTCTTATCTGAAACTTTCAAACTATACTGACTAAACTTTATACTGACTAGCCTATTTCTTAACAGTTCTAATTTAACCCTTTTCTTCAGGAAGAACTGTTTTACACATCCAGCTTCAGCCTTCTGCAAACTGCTCCATCCAAAAAGGTTTACTTCAAGCTTTGGCTGTTCTCCAAACCAAAAAAAATGTCTAGAATCTTCCATCTGAAACCTAATACATGACAGTTTATTCTCTTAAAACTCACCCAAGGTAAACCAGATCCCAATTACTCTCCAGGAAGTCTCTCTATCTCATTCTGTGTTTTAAAAGAAGTCACCATGACCTCGGAAATATTTGCAAGTTAATCATGAAACCGCTTCGTAGACAGACCAGATCACATGGCACTAATTCAAAATTTAAGTTCTAAAACAAATAATATGAAAGTACAAATGAATCACACATCTTACATCGCAGTATATTTAGATTTTCAGAAAACTTTTGATAAGGTCCCATATGACGTTGGTAAATAAAATTTAGTGCACTTGAGAATTAGGGCAATTGACACCTAGAAAACAGGAGCAGCAGTAGGCCATTCAGCTCTTCAAATCTGCTCTACCATCCAATATTATTATGGCTAACCATCCAACTCAGTATCCTACTCCGACTTTCACCCAATACCTTTTGATCCTTTCAGCCCAAAGAACTATATCTAACTCCTTCTTGTAAACATCACAGGCTCCCTACTGTCTGGGTGAAGAAGTTTCTCCTCATCTCAGTCTTTAATGGCCTGTCATAGAGTCCTATAGTTGTACAGCCCGGGAAACAGACACCTTCAGTCCAACTGGTCCATGCTGACCAGATATTCTAAATTAATCTAGTCCCATTTGGCCCATATCACTCTAAACCTTTCCTATTCATATACCCATCCAGATTGCTTTTGAATATTGTAATTGTACCTGCCTCCACCACATTCCATACATGCACCACGCTCTGTGTGAACAAGTTGCCCCTTAGGTTCCTTTTAAATCTTTCCCCTCTTAAACCTATACCCTTTAGTTTTGGACTCCCCAACCTTGACTATTCACCCTCTCCATATCCCTCATGTTTTTATAAACCTCTATAAGGTCACCCTCAGCCTCCTACACTCCAGCAAAAATAGCCCCAGCCTATTCAGCCTGCCCCTGCAGCTCAAATCCTCCAATTCTGGCAACATCCTTCTAAATCTTTTCTAAAACCTTTCAACTTTTACAATATCTTTCCTGTGGCAGGGAGACCAGAATTGAACACAGTATTCCAAAAGTGGCCTAACCACTCACTGTCCTGTACAGCTGCAACATAACCTCCCAACTCTTATACTCAATGCACTGACCGATAAAGGCAAGCGTACCAAACGCTGCCTTCACTACCCTGTCTACCTGCAAATCCACTTTCAAGGAATTATGAACCTGCACCCAAAGGTCACTTTGGTTGGCAACACTCCGTAGGACTTTACCATTAGCTGTATAAGTCCTGCCCTGATTTGTCTTACTAAGATACAGCACCTCACATTTATCTAAATTAAAGTCTATCTGTCACTCATTGGCTCATCTGGTCATGGCTCTGTTGTACTCTGAGGTGGCCACTACACTACCAATTTTGATGTCACCTGTAAACGCCCTAACTATACCTCCTATATTCACATCCAAATCATTTATATAAATGTCAAAAAGCAGTGAACTCAGCACTGATCCTTCGACACATCGCTGGTCACAGGCCTCCAGTCCAAAAAACAACCCTCCACTACAACCCTCCTACCTTTGAGCCAATTTTGTATCCAAATGGCTGCTATCCCTGTACTCCATGTGATATAACCTTGCTAACCAGTCTCCCATGCAGAACCTTGTTGAACAGTTTACTGTCCATATAGACAACGTCCACCGCTCTGCCTTCATTGTTCCTCTTTGCTCCTTCTTCAAAAAACTCAATCAAGTTAGTGAGACAAGATTTCCCACGCACCATCCACAAATCCCTAATCAGTTCTTGCCTTTGCAAGTACATTTGAAACGTGTCCCTCAGAATCCCCTCCCAATAACTTAGTCACTACTGACGTCAGGTTTACCGGTCTATAGCTCCCTGGCCTTTACTTACCACATTTCTTAAATAATGGCACCACATTAGCCAACCTCCAGACTTCTGGCACCTCACCTGTGGCTATCGATGATACAAGTATCTCAGCAAGATGCCCAGCAATCACTGCCCTAACTTTCTACAAAGTTCTAACGTACACCTAGTCAGATCCTGGGGATTTATTCACCTTTATAAGTTTTAAGACAACCAGTACCATCTCCTCTGTAATCTGAACACTTTTCAAGAAAGATATTGCTATTTATTTCTCCAAGTTCTCTAGTTTCCATACCCTCCTCCCAGTAAATACTGAAGCAAAATACTTGTTTAATATCTCACCCAACTCCTACATTTCCACATAGGTGACCTTGTTGAGCTTTAAGGGCCCTATTCTCTCCCTAGTTATTCTTTTGTCCTTAATGTATTTATGGAATCTCTTTGGATTCTCCTTAACCCTATTTGCCAAAGCTATCTCATGTCCCCTTTTTGCTGTCCTGATTTCCCTCTTGAATATCCTCCTACTACCCTTATACCGTTCTAGGGATTCACTGAATCCTGGCTATCTATACCTGACACACACCTCCTCCTTTTTCTCGACCGGAGATTCAATTTCTGTAGTCATCCAGCATTCCCTAAATCTACCAGCCTTGGCCTTCACTCTAGCAGGAGCATGTTGTCTCTAGACTCTTATCATCTCATTTTTGAAGGTCTCCCACTTTCCAACCGTCCCTTTACCTGTGAATAGTCGCCCCCAGTCAACTTTTGAAAATTCTTGCCTAATACTGTCAAACAACTTTCAAAAGTTGATTGGAGTGGTTATTCAGGAGGCGTGTATCTTGAAATTGTCACTCCTAGTTCTGGACTCCTTGGTTATCAAGAACTTCTTTCCTGTTTTTACTTGATCTAGTCTTGTAGAATATAGAAACATAGAAACATAGAAGATAGGAGCAGGAGGAGACCATTCAGCCTTTGAGCCTGCTCGGCCATTCTTCGCTATCATGGCTGATCGTCCAAGTCAATAGCCTAATCCTGCTTTCTCCCCATAACCTTTGATCCCATTTGCCCCAAGTGCTATATCTAGTCTGCTCTTGAATACATTCAATATTTCTACTTCCTGTGGTAATGAATTCCACTGGCTCACCACTCTTTGAGTGAAGAAATGTCTCCTCATCTCCATCCTAAATTGTCTACCCCAAATCTTCATACTGTGACCCCTGGTTCTGGACACACCCACCATCGGGAACATCCTCCCTGCATCTACCTGTCCAGTCCTGTTAGAATTTTATGTCTCTTTGAGATTCCCCCTCATTTATCGGAACTGTAGCGAAAACAATTCCAACCTAGTCAATCTTTCCTGATACGTAAGACCCACCATCCCTGGAATCAGCCTGGTAAACCCTCACTGCACACCCTTGAAAGCAAGAGCATCCTTCCTTAGACAAAGAGACCAAATTGCACACAATATTCCAGGTGTGGTCTCACCAAGGCCCTGTACAACTGCAACAACACATCCCTGCTCCTTAACTCTCAACCTCTCGCAATGAAGGCCAACATACCATTTGCCGACTTTACCACCTGCTGCACCTGCATGCTTACCTTCAGTGACTGGTGCGCAATGACGCCCTGGTCTCGCTGCACGCTTCCCTTTCCCAATTTATAGCCATTCAGGTAGTAACCTGCCTTCTTGTTTTTGCTTCCTAAGTAAATAACCTCACATTTATCCAAATTATACCGCATCTGCCATTGATTTGCCCACTCACCCAACCTGTCCAGATCATGCTAAAGGATTTCTGCATCCTCAACACAGTTCACCCTCCCACCATTTTATAGGCTTCATTTTATAGATTTCCCCTCACTCTTCCAAACTCCAGTGAACATAGTCCAAACTGATCCAGTCTGTCTTCGTATGTCAGTTGTGCTGTAGTATTTGTAACATGGTCATCTTGATGGACCTCTTAGAATAAGAATTCCCTGATTAGGGCTGTTAATCTGGTGCAATCAGGGAGCCCCGGCTAATAGATATAAGCTGGACTGTCAGAGGTTCTATTCACTTTGAGAGCAAATAAAGGGTGACTTGGTAATGGGATACTGGCCTCTGTGGAGTTCTTTCACCTGCCATTCCAGAAGTTAGTCTGGTAAACCTTTGTTGCATTCCTTCCACAGCAAGAACATTCTTCCTCCAATAAGAAGAATTGAACTGCACACCATATTCGCCAAGGCCCTGTATCAGTATAAATTTAGCAAGACATCCCTGCTCCTGTATTTGAATCCACTTGCTATGAAGGCCAGTATACCATTTGCCTTCTTCATTGCCTGCTCTACTTGCATGCTTATTTTTAGCAACTGGTGTATAAGCACACCCAAGCTTCATGCACCTCCCCCTTTCCCAATCTATTGCTTTTCAGATAATAATCTGCCTTCCTGTTTTTGCTACCAAATGTACCTTACATTTATCTACATTATAGTCTGTCTGCCATGTATTTGCCCATTCCCTCAACTTGTCAGAGAGTTACATTGATTGAAAACTAATTTCTACCAGGAAACAGAGCAGGAATAAATGGGTTGTGTTCAGGTTGGCTGACTGTGACTAGTACCTCAACATCAGTGCTTGAACTCTGACTGATCATAATGTATATTAATGAAGTAATTATGATGATTAAATTTAATATTTCCAAGTTTGGACAAGTAGGTGGATGTGAGAGTTGTGAGGAGGGCACAAGAACACTTCAAGCGAATTCGGGAACTATTTGGCAAATGTTATTCAGTATGGAAAATTGAGAGGTCATCCACTTTGGTTGGATATAAAAAATACACGATATTTATTAAATGGTGAGGAGCTGGGAAGTCCTGAACTCTCAAGGGATCCTTGTTCATGAGTTACCGAACATTAACATGAAGGTATAGAAAGCTGTTAAGGCAAGTGGTATATTGAGTTTTACTACAAAAGAATTGGGTATAGGAGTAAAGCTATCTTACTACAATTATAGAGCCTTGGTGAGACTACAGCTGGAATATTGTGTGCAGTTTTGGTCTCCTTATTTAAGGACAGATGCACTTGCCATTGAAGGAATTCAGCAAAGATTTACAAGCCAATTTCTGGGATGGAGGGATTATTCCATGAGGAAAGTTTAAAGAGTCTGGAACTTTATTCTCTGATGTTTTGAAGAATGAGAGGTGGCTTCTTTGAGACATACAGAAACTTGAACAGAACTCAACAGGTTATCTGCAGGAGCAGTGTTTCTATGGCTTGTGAGCAATGTTTCTTTTAAGCTGCATAGCTGAGTGCTTGCACAGGTATGGCAATTGTGGTTGAGGTTGGGGAGAAATGGTCTCAGAATAGGGACTCAGACATTCGGAACTGAGATGAACAAGCACTTTTTCATATGGGCAAAGGTTGTGTTGATGGTGAATCTTTAAATTCAGTGCCACACGTGGCTATGGAGGCTCAATCATTCTAGTACGATCAATACTGTAATTGATAGATTTCTACATGCTAAAAACATCAAGGGATATGGGAATAGATGAAGGGGAAAATCACAAGGTAGAAGATATCAGCCTTGATCCCATTGAATGGCAGAGCATATTTGAAGAGCTGAATGGCCTCCTCCATCTGTTTATTTTTTAGAAGGATGTGGAAGTCAGTGACTGTGACAGTGTTTATTGTCCGCTTGAACTCAGTGGCTTGTCAAGGCCATTTCAGAGGGCACGTTCCTCAGTTAGAAGCACACACAGCTTGCAGTGCAGCATCTTAACTATCACAATTGAAAGAGCAGATGGGTTTGTTTTTGTATTCCGAAGTCTGTCATTCAGATAATTCCAGGAGTGGGTAGCTGTCCTTTTTATGGGGTGGGGTTGGGGTTTGTGACTGGGTGTTCGTTCCCCTATGGTTCACGACTTCGTCTGAGTCTCCTTTGTCATGAGCAACCCTACTCCATGTGGGAGCTGACTGCTGTGCTGGTGGAAGGAGTGGGACTGGACAAGGTGAGAGTGCTGCTTGTGAGCAGGTTGGTTGCACTCCCACACCACACTGGCAGAAATTTCTGAGAACAGGAATCCCCAGATCATGCCCATCCATCATTTATAAAGGGCTCCTGAATCGATTGTAATCGGCGAAAATCCAAACTCAGGAGGAGACAGTGATGAAATGGACAGACTCGAAGCAGATTAAATTCAATGCAGGGCAGTGCAAAGTGGTTCATTTGGTGGGAAGGAGGAGGATGGGCGATATAAACTTATCAAATCTGCCTGTATTATCGTGCAAGTCATCCAAATGACATCCTTCCGCACCATAATGTTTCTGTGTATCTCTGAGATCTGCAATTTTAAAGAAAGTGCAAGGACAGTTCTTTGAAGGTGGCATGATGAGTTGAGAAGGGTGTTATAAAAGCACCCAGAATCCAATGTTGTATAAACAGCGATGTAATGTACAACAACAAGGAAGTATTGCCAAACTGCTCAAAAGCTCCAGTTAAGCCTTTGTCTGTTTCTAATCTCCACACTTTGGGAAAGATGTCAAAGCATTAGAAAGGGTGACAAGGAAACTTACTAGACTAGAATCTGGTTGAAAGTGAGTGATTTTTAGAAACCAATGAAACTGGAATTGTGTTCTTTATATTGGGGAAAGTTAAAGGGATGTGTTCATAATCGTGAAGGGTTTTGATAGAGGAGATAAATAGAAATTGATTTGTAGTGCTAAGCGGAAAGACCAGGCCTCATTTATTAGCCGTTTCAAAGATTTGATGGATTGAATGGTCTACCATCCTAATGTATTGAGCTCCATACCAAAAACTGGATGATGAGATACAAAAGGCAGCCCAGAGAAGGATCACTAGGTATGAAGGGACTGTCTTATGAGGACAGGTTGAGTGAGTTGGGACAGTACTCCTTGGGATTTGGAAGAATGAGAAGGACCTTATTGAAATATAGAAGATTCTTCGAGGACTTGACAGGGTAAATGCAGAAAGGTTGTTTCCCTTGTTTGAGGGGCTGGGACCATAGGGCACAATCTCAAGAATAAGGGGTTACCTATTTAAGAGAGAGATGAAGAAGGATTCCTTCTCTCGAAGAGTAATGAATCTGTGGAATTCTTTGCTGCCAATGGCTGTTGAGGCTTTGTTATTAAGTATATTCAATTGGATGGACAGATTTTTAATCAGTAAGAGAATCAAGGGTTATGGGAAAAATGCAGGAAAGCAGAGTTAAAGATTATCAAATCAGCCGTGATCTCATTGAATGGCAGAAGAGACTCAATGCACACCCTACTTCGCCTCCTATTTCTTATAGTCTTTAACTGTAAGATAAAGTTAGAATTTCCCAGTTTTTTTTTTAGCATGAAGTAGGTAAATGAGCATCAGTTTGGATATTAATACAGCCATTGTTAATGTCATTATTGTGGCTGAGATGGAAGACTGCTCACAGAAATGCAGTGTTTCGTAGTGTGGATTGCACCTTTCCCAGAGTTAGTTGAATCTGTGCCAAGTCAAGGGGTTCTCCTAGCAACAAGTCAGCCATCAAGCAAGGTTTGTATCAATTATATTGAAGTATTCTCATAGACTGCTATCCAGGAAGTAAAGAGCAGTTAACATTTATTACATTTTACAGAGACCAAAAGTATTTTTTAAATTGATGAGCTTTGATATTCCTCTAAGGTAAAATGAATTTTCAAGGCACTAAGTTCGTAATTATGACCTTCCTGCACTGTTCATAAGCCCAATTATGCCTCATGCAACCATCTGTCACTTTTTCAAGGAGTTTAATAATGAAACTAGCCAAGTTATTGTCAGTGCAGTGACTTCTAATTACAGAACCAAAAGGACTGCGACTATGTATTTCTGGATAAGCGTCGAATCACTGCCACTGATTTCTGCATATGTACGGGCTCAAGAAATTGTTGGTAGTGTCAGAGGAGTGATAACAGTGTCATTATCAATGCTACTGCAAAATCTGGATTTTTGTATCCTTTCTTCCCGCTGATGTCTGGCAGTTTTGATAACTGAATGCAAGTTTGTCTCAAAAGCTGTAGTCCACTGGGGCCACTGTATTGTGAGTGTGCGGTGCCCTTGCTGTCAGCAAAATCTACACGATGTTGCCAGTATTGATGTGGTAATGTGACTGCAGAACTAAAGTGGAGACCTCTAAAACTTCTCATTATCATGAATGATTCTGTTTGTCTTTTAGATTTCCAAAACCATCAACATGTTGGTTCGCTGGCACGTGGAGGGTCACGAGGCCCCTGCTTTCCAGGAGCATGTTTCTCATATCCCAGACTATCTCTGGTAAGTCATCTGACTGGAATCTTTTGGGGTGAGATGGTAAAGACCAACTGAGTATGTCTTGAGAATGGGGGCACATCACGCACTGTTCCCTCCTGTTGTTAGTGCTGTCTATACTCAAGTTGATCTGCATGTTTCCATTTTGTCAGTGTCTGCTCCATTTTCAATCAATGAAGGGAAGTTGTTGAGAAATTTCCACATTGGGTGACTCAGTGACAAATGGAGTTAGGGTAATTTGAAGAAATTGTGATATTCTCATCATGGATTGCTCTGATTTGATGGCCTAATGTTTGCCTCCTTCAGTAATACACCTTGCTCAGATAAGAAGTGTCATTCATTTTGATCCCTTTCCCAAAAATTATTCCCCTCAAAAGTGTTATTTTGTTATTAATTAGACCCCCATCCACTTTTCTTTTAAGAAATGAGTCAGCTATAATTAAGATTGGTTATAGGGAAATAGAAATGTTCAGGTGTGTGTGGGCTTGGACATGTGTTGCATCCTGAAGCTCAGTTTGAGAATGTCTCTTTTTTTTTTTTTGGTATAATGATTACCAGAAACATAGCACATGGCAGCATAGTAACACCCCATTACTTGATTTGTTTACTTTGCGGTGCTTAGGAATGAACACAGCGAGATTGACTTGTGTGGTTTCTTGGTAGTTTACCCAGAATTTTGGAACCCCATTGTGGGAGCACCGTAGGAACTATGGGGTTTTGCTATGGAAGATCTGCCACGTTGCCTTTGTGGGGTAACTAGGGATGGACAATAAAATGTAGTCATCTGAATGGCACCTACATGCTCTGAGCAACTTTTTTAAAAAGCAGCATTCATACTACTGGGTGCAATCTCCAACAATCATTTCAACTTGTGAGGTCTGTCAGAGTGATTATGTTGATGTCTGCAATCTCATACTAGGGTAACCATCATGTCAGATGCAGTTTTGTTAAAGGGACGATATAGTTAGATATCAGAACAAATGTAGAAAATGTCTACAGGCACCTAGGAAGCATTAAACAGAGTTATATTCCAAGCAAATGACCTTCTGTCGGAATGCGGCCTAACGGGGGTCTTAACCACTATCAGAAGGAACCACTCCATGATTCCATGGGTGATGCTCAGTGATATTACATGCCTATGGTAAACCTGACGAGGTTTGTTGAGGGGACTTTAGGAGGCATGAGACGGCCATACAGCTCCCATTCAGTCAGGATAATGATGTCACTTGGCTTATTAATGAACCTAATTGACATCCCAGCACTGCCAGCCCCTCCTGTCTTCTGCCTTGCTCAGGGGAGGTTTCGTCACTGTGGGTAGCTGATGCAGGGTATCTTCGGTGGCTAAGTAGGGCAGCATGCGCCAAATGCATTTGATTCAGACCACTAATTCTGTTCCATTCATACAGGTGCTGTCAGGTCCAGATTTACTGCATTCTTGCTATTTTACTGTGTAATTACTTTGACTGGAGTGGTACAGTGGTTCAGTGGTTAGCACTGCTGCCAAACAGTGCCAGAGACCCGGGTTCAAATCCAGACTTGGGCGACTGTCTGTGTGGAGTTTGCACATTTTGTCCGTGCCCGTGTCTGCATGGTTTTTCTCTGGTTCTCCGATTTCCTCCTACAGTCCAAAGATGTGCAGATTAAGTGGTTTGGCCATGCTAAATTGCCCATAGCGTCCAGGGATGTGGAGGTTAAGTGGATTAGCCATGGGAAATGCAGGGTTACAGGGATAGGGTATGGGGTAGGATGTTCTTTGGAGGGGTCGTTGTTGACTCCATGGACTGAATGGCCTTCTACATTGTAGGGATTCTATGATTCTTCTATGATTCTATGACTGAATCTTAGTGTTACAGTGGCAAGTGGCAATTGGCAATGCTGATGGATTCCAGCCTGATTGATGTGATAGAAATCCAGATATGCACCTTTTTTTTTGTGGAGAGACTTTAAAATATAGGAGCAGAATTAGGCCATTCAGCCCATTGAGTCTGGTCCACCATTTGATCATGGCTGGTATGTTTCTCAACCCCATACTCCTGCCTTCTCCTCCTAACCCTTGATCTCCTTACCAATCAAGAACCTGCCTATCTCTGCCCTAAATACACTCAATTACTTGGTCTCAACAGTCTTCTGCAGCAATGAATTTCAAAGATTCACCACTCTCTGGCTGAAGAAATTCCTCCTTACCTCAGTTCTAAAGAGTCGTTCCTTCACACTGAGGCTGTGCCCTCGGGTTCTAGTCTCTCCTAATTGTGGAAATGTCTTCTCCACGTCCACTATATCTCGGCCTGTCAGTATTCTGTAAGTTTTAGTCAGATCCCGCCTCATCCATCTAAACTCCATTGGGTACAGACCCAGAGTTCTTAACCGCTCCTGTTATGACAAGCCCTTCATCCTGGGATCAATCTTGTGAACCTCATGTGGATCCTTCCTCAGATGTGGGGCCCAAAACTGCTCAACAATACTTCAAATGCAGTATGACAAGAGCCTTGTATCACTTCAGCAATACATCTCTGCATTTGCATGCTAGTCCTCTTGAAGTCTTCTTGTCCTAACTGCCAACTGAACCTGCCTGTTAAATGTAAGAGAACCCTGAACTAAGACTCCATAATCCTTTTGTGCTTCAGATTTCCAAAGCCTCTCCATTTTAGAAAATAGTCTACGCCTCTATTCTTACTACCAAAATGCACAACCTCACACTTTTTCACATTGTATTCCATCTCCCACTTCTTTCCCCACTCTCCTAGCCTGCCCAAGTCCTTCTGCAGCCTTCTCGTTTCCTTAGCACTACATGCCCCTCCACCTATCTTTGTGTCATCTGCAAACTTAGCAATTCCCAAGTTCCTTTATCCATGTCATTAATGTATACTGTGAATATTTGTCGTCCCAGTATGGTCCCCACGCAACCTCACTAGTTACTGGCTGCCATCTTGAAAAACACCGCTTTATCCCAACTCTCTGCCTTCTGCCTGTCAGCCAATCCTTCATGCCAGTACCTTGCCCTGAACACTGTGGTCTCTTAACTGGTTTAGCACTTTGTCAAATGCCTTCTGAAACTCCAAGCAGATCATATCCACTAACTCTCCTTTGTCAAATTTACTCATTGCCTTCTCAATATAGTACAAGATTTGTCAGGCATGACCTCCCCTTAACAAAGCCATGCTGACTCAGCCCTATTTTACCATGCAGGGAGAGTTTATTGACTTAGTCATTCTTTGCCCTGTCATCCCAGCCCCAGTGTCACGGTATCTCCCTAATTTTACGTGCTTGAAGTTAATTAATATTCACCTTCTGTCTCTCTTAACCTTAACAAAGGTATTAACCTGCCACAACTGGTCAGACAACAACAAGTAATATGTTGTGAATTGATGCAGTGTATTGAATTTTTGAGCAATGCAGATATTGCTGATGACTAAAGCACCTCACTGATCACTGTTTATCAGCATCCAAACAACCTCCAGATCATTACAATCTTATCATCTTAACATTAATTTCACAGGCTTGGCCTTGATGGACTGAAGATGCAGGTAAAGTTTTTCTAAATTCCTTTATAGAACCCTGGAGGGGGAAGGGGCCCTAATTTCAGTGCAGTGATCTATTGGTTCAAGGAGACCTGGCAGCTCCCCAGTACTGTTTTGCTGTCATATGATTTATAACATATTGAATGAGTAACATAACTCTTCTCTTCACATTGTCTGCTGAAGTGACAGATTTTACTTCTTATTTAGGATCTGAATGGTTTTAGGTAGTTTGTATAGAGCTATTTATGCAGAGGAATGCTAAACTCCAGTAGTGTCAGCACAATTGCTTTTCTTGTCATTTAGTACTGCACAATCTCCTGGCCCTTTTATTGTTTCTCTTGCCAAAGAATTTATTGCTTCCCTGGAGTGTTCACTTGCTTTCCTATTTTAATTGACCCACTGCAAATCATAGATCGTCTACCTTACTCTCTGCTCATCAGGTGTTGTGTGTGGGTGATGATTAGGAAATATGTGTTGGCAGAAAGCAGATACACCAGGAAAGCAGGACCTCCATCGCGGGTTAGACTCTCAATGGGATGAGACTGTAACACTTTGACTGCCTTGGTTTTGACAGCTATTAATTAGCACTGAGGTTTTATATATAGGACAAGATTAATCTTTATGCTGGAGTGTAGTCAATAATGTGGACTTTGGTATTCACTGAGAGACACTGAACACTGTGTACTGGGTCTTTGCAGAGAGCTACTGAACTCTAATGGACATTAGCTGAGAGGCATTGAACTCCCCGTACTGGGATTATCAGAGAGGCTTTGAACTCTCTGTACTTGGCAGTCACTGAGAAGCACTGAATACTCTGTACTGGGCATTTGCAGAAATGTTTTAAATAATCTATATCTCCATCTCAGGGCACCAACGGATCTCAGCTGTGGGATACAGCTTTTGCCGTCCAGGCCTACCTTGAGGTGAGCAACCAAGAATCGTACACGTCAGCAAACAGGCTGTGTCTGGGTGAATAAGTAGCATTTCTTTCATATCAAATATATTATCCCTAAACTGAACTGGACCATTTATTGAGGCTGATGTATGAATGATCTAGTTATCACAAGGAATGACTAAGTTATTGGATTTATTTGTCTTATAATTTCTAATTCCCTTCCTCCGAAACTTATGCTGAAGACACTAGAGTCCTGCAAATTAACCCAGCTGAGATTATGCAACTCCACACAACCTCCAGAGTAAACCTAGCAACTGGCAGTTTAATAAAAGCAAAATACTCCAGATGCAATCCATCTGAAATCAAAACAGAAAGTGTTGGAGTCTGTATGCTCAGATGTGAGACAGGTGTGACAACGACCTAGGGATTAAAATTGAGGAATCTGTCTGCCCGGTTTAAGGACATTTCCTCGGGGCTGGAGTGGAACTTGGAAGGTAGTGGAGAGGTCCAGTCGTTGTCATCCACATTTGTACCAAAAACGATGGTAAGACAAGAAAGGAAATTCTGCTCAAAGACTTTGAACATTTAGAAACTAAATTAAAAAGCAGAACTTCTGAGGGCATAATCTCTGGATTACTACCTGAGCCATATGCAAGCTGCCATTGGATAACTAAAATCAAGGAGATAAATGCGTAACTCAAAGACTAGTGTGGAATGGATTTCATTTCATGGGGTATTGGCACCAGTACTGTTCTGGTGGATGGGATTCACTTAAACTGTGCTGTGCCAGTGTCCTAGGGAATAAAATAACTAGGGCTGTGGAGAGGGTTAGCTAATTAAAGGGTTGGGGGGAGAGTTTGGCAGAGGGGAAATAAAGGTTTTTCAAGCAATGAGGATATGGCAGCATTGCATACCAGCTTTTTGGATAACAATACACAGAAGTAGGACAAGTAGGGTCAGAGTGTGTAAATATAGAAAAAAACAGCAGTAATCAAGTCAAAAGGGAGAATAATGATAAAAAAGGCAAAATTAATAGCTGTTTACTTGAATGTACATTTTAGTCAGAGCAAAACAAATGAATTAACAGTGTAAGTACTGGATTACGGGTATGATCTTATAACCGTTACAGTGACACAGTTACAAGGACATCAAAGCTGAACTTTTTGAAAGAACAGGCAGGAGGAAAGGGTGGTGCTGTGGTATTGCTGGTATGGGATGAAATAAATTCAATAGCAAAAAATGGTCTTGAACTTGAAGATGTAAATGTTATTGGAAGTAAGAAATAAAAAGGCAAAGAAGGCACTATTAGGAGCAGTCTATAGGCCCCTAAAAGTAGCTATATGATGGGACAGAGAATGAATCAGGATAATGAACTGTAACAGGCAGTACATTAATCATGGGTGATTTTAATCCTCATCTAGATTGGATTAGTCAGATTGATGCAGTAGGCTTGAGGAAGAATTCATAAGATGTATTTGGAACAGTTTTCTAGAACAATATGTTGTGGATCCAATTAGGGTTCAGGCTATTTTGGATCTGGTGACATTTAATATGTTTAATACGTGGTGTTAGAGCAAAAGGTCTCCGAGGAAACAATAACCCTAACGTGGTAGAATTTAACATTCGTTTGAGTCAGAAACAACTGTGCTGTTTAGATAAGGGTAATTACAAAGGAATGAAAGCCAAGCTGGCTGGAGTGAATTGGGAAAGGAGTTTAGCAGCAAAGATGATTGAGGAACAGTGGAAGACATTTAAGAAAATAATTCATGGCTTGCAACAAAGACATAGTTTAGTGAGGAAAGGAATAATCCAAACTTTAATCAAGGAAGTTCAGGATAACATTAGATTTAAAGAAAAGCATACAATGAGGCAAAGATTAGTGGTAAGACAAAGGACTAAGAAAGTTTTAAAAACCAACAAAAGATGACCAAAATAAAATAAAGAGAGTGAAGGTAACTTTGAGGGTAAATTTACAAGCAATATCGAGACTTGACAGCTAGAGCTTCTTTTTATATATTTAAATGAATTTAGGGATCAACATTAAAAAAGGCTCCTTAGAAAACTGGGGAAGTAATAATGGAGTTCCAGTAAATGACAGAAGAGTTGAATGAATACTTTGCATCGGCTTTCACAGTGCAAGGCACAAATAGCATTCTAAAAATACTAAATACTTATTGGGCAAAAGGAAGAGAGGAAATAAATGCGATAACTCCCATCAGAGAAAAAGTGCTAGGGAAACTAATGGCGCTAAAGACTGATAACTTCTTAATATGGTGGGATGTATTCTAGGATACTAAAGTGAGTAGCTACAGAGATAATGTATGCATTGATAGTAATCTTCCAAGAATTCTTAGATTCTGGATATGGCACATGGGATTAGACATCTACCAAAGTAAGACCTTTATTTAAATAGGGGAGGAGACAAAAAAAACAAGTAATTATAGGCTATTTAGCTCAACATCTTTTATTGGGAAAATGTTAGTGTCCTTTATGAAGGATTTCATATTGTAGATTTCTAATACTCTGCCATTACATAATCAGAGTCAACATAGCTTTATGAAGGGGAAATCATTCCTGACAAATTTATTAGAATCTCAGGAGATAACAGCCAGGATAGATAAAGGGAAAGCAGTGAATGTAGTATATTTGGATTTTCAGAAGGTACTTGATAAGGTATCACACTTTTCACTACTTAATAAGACAAAGCCCATGGTGTTGTCGGTAGTATATTAGCATGGATTGGCTAACTAATAGAAGACGAAAAGTTGGGATAAGGAACAGCCTGCAAAGGGATATAATCAGGTTAAGTGACTAGACAAAAGGTTTGGCAAATGGAACATAATGTGGGAAAATGTGAGGCTATGTACTTTGGCAGGAACAATCGAGGAATTGAATATTATTTAACTGTAAAAAGATTACAGAAAGAGGCAGAACAGAGCAATTTGGGAGTCATCGTCCATGAGCCACAAACAGCTAGTGTCGAAGTTCAGTAGGTAATAAAGAAGGAAAATGGAATAGTAACCTTTATTTCAATAGAGCATAAAAGTAGGGAGGTCTTACTAAAGTCATACGAGGCACCAGTCAGACCACAGCTGGATTACTGTGAACAAGTTTGGGTCCTTTATCTAAGGAAAGATATACTGGCATTGGAAACAGTCCAAAACAGGTTCACTAGGCTAATACTGGGTATGGAGGAGCTGTCTTATGAGGAGAGGTTGAGTAGATTGGTTCTGTGTTTGCTGGAGTTTAAAAGAATGAGAGACAACCTGTTTGAAATGTGCAGTGTTCTTAGGTGGCTTGGCAGGGTAGATGCAGAAACTATGGAGAATGAGGTTGAATCCATTTGGGTGGAAATTAGAAATTCTAAGAGGAAAAAGTCACTGATAGGCGTAGTCTATAGGCTACCAAATAATAACATCATATTGGGGCGGGCAATAAACAAAGAAATAACTAATGCCTGTAAAAATGGTACGGCAATTATCATGAGGGATTTTAACCTACATGTAGATTGGGCGAACCAGCTCGGTCAGGGTAGCCTTGAGGAGGAGTTCGTTGAGTGTATCCGTGATAGTTTTCTTGAACAGTATGTAATGGAACCAACGCGGGAGCAAGCTATCCTAGATCTGGTCCTGTGTAATGAGACAGGAATAATTAATGACCTCATAGTTAGGGATCCTTTTGGAAGGAGTGATCACAGTATGGTTGAATTTAGAATACAGATGGAGAGTGTGAAGATAAAATCCAATACCAGGGTCCTGTGCTTGAACAAGGGGAACTACAATAGAATGAGGGAGGACTTGGCTAAAGTAAACTGGAAACAAAGATTTTATGGTGGGACAGTTGACGTGCAGTGGAGGACTTTCAAAGCAATTTTTCAAAGTGCTCAGCAAAAGTATATTCCAATGAAAAGGAAGGACTGTAAGAAAAGGGGTAATCTGCCATGGGTGTCTAAAGAAATAAGGGAGGCTATCAATTTGAAAGGGAAGGCATACAAAGTGGCCAAAAAGAGCTATAAAGAAAAGTAAGATAGAACATGAGAAAAAACTAGCACAGAATATAAAGACATAGCAAAAGTTTCTATAAATATATAAAACGAAAAAGAGTGGCTAAAGTAAACGTTGGCCCTTTAGAGCATGAGAAGGGGAATTTAGTTATGGGATATAATGAAATGGCCGAGGCATTGAACAGGTATTTTGTATCGGTCTTCACGGTGGAGGACACTAATAACATGCCAGTAATTGACAAAGAGACGAAGGTAGGTGAGGACCTGGAAACAATCATTATTACGGAAGAGGTAGTGTTGGGCAAGCTAATGGAGCTAAGGATCGATAAGTCTCCTGGCCCTGATGGAATGCATCCCAGGGTACTAAAAGAGATGGCGGGAGAAATAGCAGGTGCACTGGCGGTAATTTTCCAAAATTCGCTGGACTCTGGGGCAGTCCCAGCAGATTGGAAAACAGCAAATGTGACGCCACTGTTTAAAAAGGGAAGTAGACAAAAGATGGGGAATTATAGACCGGTTAGCTTAACCTCTGTAGTGGGGAAGATGCTTGAGTCGATTATCAAGGAAGAAATAGCAAGGCATCTTGATAGAAATTGTCCCGTTGGGCAGACGCAGCATGGGTTCATGAAGGGCAGGTCATGCTTGACAAATCTTTTGGAATTCTATGAAGACATTACGAGTGAGGTGGACAATGGGGACCCAGTGGATGTGGTGTACCTAGATTTCCAAAAAGCCTTTGACAAGGTGCCGCACAAGATGCCGTACTGCATAAGATAAGGATGCATGGCATTAAGGGTAAAGTATTAGCATGGATAGAAGATTGGTTGACTAACAGGAAGCAAAGAGTGGGGATAAATGAGTGCTATTCTAGCTGGCAGTCAGTGACTAGTGGTGTGCCTCAGGGATCGGTGTTGGGACCGCAATTATTTACAATTTATATAGATGATTTGGAGCTGGGGACCACGTGTAGGGTGTCAAAGTTTGCAGATGACACTAAGATGAGTGGCAAAGCAAAGTGTGCAGAGGACAGTGAAACTTTGCAGAGGAACATAGATACATTGAGTGAGTGAGCAAAGGTCTGGCAGATGGAATACAATGTAAATAAATGTGAAGTCATACATTTTGGTCGGAGTAATAGTAAAAAGGATTATTACTTGAATGGTAAAAAGTTGCAGCATGCTGCTATGCAGAGGGACCTGGGTGTCCTTGTGCATGAATCACAGAAGGTAGGTCTGCAGGTACAACAAGTAATTAGGAAGGCAAATGGAATTTTGTCCTTCATTGCTAAAGGGATTGAAATAAAAAGCAGAGAGGTTATGTTGCAGCTGTACAAGGTGCTGGTGAGGCCACACCTGGAATACTGTGTGCAGTTTTGGTCTCCTTGCTTGAGAAAGGATGAATTGGCACTGGAGGGGGTGCAAAGGAGGTTCACTAGGTTGATTCCGGAGTTGAGGGGGTTGACTTATGAGGAGAGACTGAGTAGATTGGGATTATATTAATTGGAATTCAGAAGATTGAGGGGGGATCTTATAGAAACATATAAAATTATGAAGGAAATAGATAAGATAGAAGTAGAGAGGATGTTTCCACTGGCAGTTGAAGCTCGGACAAGAGGGCATAGCCTCAAGATTAGAGGGAGCAGATTTAGTACCGAACTGAGAAGGAATTTCTTCACCCAGAGGGTTGTTAATCTATGGAATTCCTTGCCCAGTGAAGTAGTTGATGCTACTTCAGTAAATGTTTTTTTAAAAAAAGTAGATTTTTTTGAACAATAAAGGAATTAAGGGATACGATGAGAACGCGGGTAAGTGGATCTGAGTCCACGAAAGGATCAGCCATGATCTTATTGAATGACGGAGCAGGCTCGAAGGGCCAGACGGCCTACTCCTGCTCCTAGTTCTTAGTTCTTACGTTGTTTCTTCCTGTGGGAGAGTCTAGTCCAGAGGGCAAAATCTCAGAGTACGAGGGTGCACATTTAAGACCGAGATGAGGAGGCATTTCTCCTCAGAGGGGTAGTTTATCTATGGAATTTTTTTATTGCAGAGGGCTGTTAAGGCTGGGTCATTAATTATATTCAAGGTTGATAAACATTTTTACTCGGTAATGGAATCGAGGGTTATGGGGAAAAGGCAGGAAAGTGGAGTTGAGGATTATCAGATTAGTCATGATATCGCTGAATGATGGAGCAGACTCAAAGGGCTAAATGGTGTACTTCCTCTCTTGTATTTAATGGCCCCTTCCCTCATCCAAACCATTAATATAAATTGTAATTAATTGTGACCTCAGCACTGAGCACCATGGCACTCCACTAGTTAGTGGAAATGTCCCCCTTTTATTCCAGCTTTCTGTCTTTTTTATTAGTTTGCTATTCCTCTATCCACATTCATATACTACCTACAACACAATGGACTTTTATCTTATTAAGTAGCTTAATGCATGGCATTTTCTCAAATTCCATCTTAAAATCTAAATATTAACATCCATTACTTCTCCTTTATCTATCCTGCTTGTTACCAATTCAGAGACTTTGAGTACATTTGTCAGGAATGGTTTCCCCTTCATGAAGCCATACTGACTCTGTGTTGTAGAAATTTTTATTATTTCTACTTAACTAGTAATGAGACTTGACTCCAGCTCACGTTCAAAGCAGTTTATTTTCTTACTTGGTACCAAGGAGAGTGAGTGTTGACCTCCACCGGCACCCGACTCTCCTTTATACCATTAACTTCAGAGCAGGGTGTTCCCGTAACATCTTGTGTTTGTCGATTCATTCATTGTAAGTTTAAAGAAAACAGACGCTGTTCGAGGTAATAGGAATACTGTCTTACAGATACCTTAATAATTACTTCTTCAAATGACCTTCGGCATGCAGCTAGCATAGGGAGTGATATATAGTTTGATTGAAGCTCTAGCTTATCAGTAACTAGGCTCCACAAGGATACAAGGGACATCTCTAATTCAGCCTAAAACCTTGGTATAGTGACAACATATCAAGAGATCCTCCTCCAGCTCTAGCTAAGATAACATGCACATAATGATAACGGAGTCTGAGTAACTACCTCCCGACTTCTGCTAAGCTCATTAAAACCCCACATGCTAAACTAATTAAAAATTCTTTCTCTATGCCATCAGTTTCTCCCATGTCTGCCTTTTCTGTCTTGGCCTAAATTCCCATCTACCCTTGCGATGTAATTTCTGTCTTGGCCTAAATTCCCATCGACCTTCGTGATGTAAAATTTTTCTTCCACACTCTGCATGATCATAATACAGATTTCTAAATACTCTGCTATTACATCCTTTATAATAGATTCTAACATTTTCCCAATAACAGACATTAACTTAACTGGCCAAAGTTACCTCTTTTTCATCTCCTTCCCTTTTTAAGTAAAGGCATTACATTGGCAATTTTCCAATCCTTTGGGACTTTTTCAGAATCTAAGGATTCCTAGAAGATCACTACCACTGCGTCTACTGCCTCTGTAGCTACTTCCTTTAATATTCTAAAATGCATTCCATCAAGTCCAGGGGAGTTATTGGTCTTTGGTGTCATTTGATTCCCTGGCATTTTTTCTCTTGTGATAGTTACTGTTTTTATTTCCTCTCCCCTTTTAGCCCCTTGATTATTTAATATTTGTAGAATGCCATTAGTATCTTTTACCGTGAAGACTGATGCAAAGTATTTATTCAACTCCTCTGCCATTTTCTGGTTCCCATTATTACTTCACCAGCCTTATTTTCTAAGGGACCCATGTTCATTGATCAAATAGTGAAATAACTACTGCTAGTTGTTCTAAAAACACACCAGATTCTACTAATGTCCTTTAGGGAATGAAATCTGCTGTCCTTACATTGTGTGGCCTACATGTGACTCCAGACCCACAGCAGTGTGGTTGACTATTAACTGCCTTCTAAAATAACTCAGCAAGCCACTCAGTTGAAGGGTAATTGGGCTAGGCAGGAAACGCTACCTTTACTCCATCTGATGTGAGAATCAAAAGTGGTGCAAGGTAAATGGCTTCTCTGAGTTCACGCGCAGATAGGACAGACCAAGTAGCCTCCTTCTTTGCTGTGACCATTCTGTGATTTTCAGGAGACCCTCTTAGCATATGAATTTCATCCTTAAATCTTCAATGTTTAAATTAAATGTGAAAGAACATGAAGCGACTCAAACTCTCCTTAAGCAGAGATCAGGACTTCAGGCGTAATGAGGCAAAGTGAAAAGTAGTCCTGATCTCAGATACCCACATTTTGTTTGCTTAACTCCTCACCTGCCAAAAGAGTGCAATTGCTACGTCCACAAAGTTAGCACAACGCTTATCCTCTTTATAGTTTCAAAATATCCCATGACAAAGTGAAAAGAATAATAACTTTTCAAAATGTGTTGTGATCTCAGCTGATTGTAATATGAAACAGTCCGATCCCAGGCTGAAATCTGTTTTTAATAGATCATGTTTTGATTTTTTTTAATGAAGTGATCCTCACTGGTTTAATAAAAAGGAGATGAAGAAAAATTGCTTTATCTCAGGGTTGTGAGTCTTTAGAACCCACTTCCTCAAAAGTTAGTGGAAACAAAGTCTTTGAATATTCTTAGGGCAGGAAGGGAATGAAATTTGATGAGCAAAGGGGTGAAAGGTTATGGGGTAGGTGAGAATGTGAAGTAATCAGATCAGCCAAGATCTTGCTGAATGGCATAGCAGGCATGAGGCCAAATGACCTACTTCTGCCTCCTGTTCATATGTATGTATATAATTTCAACATTGTGATATTCTACAAAGAAAAATTGAGAGACATTTTTAGTCTGGGTTACTCATCCTGTTCCCCGGGGCAGGGCATTGATGATAAAGTCTCTTGGCGCTAGGCATGTGAATTTTCCTTTATTCTTTAGGTGGTCTGCTAACTTGTGATATTTTCCATTGATACAGGCAGGGGCTCAGGATATTCCAGAATTCACAGCCTGTCTCCAACATGCCCACGAGTATTTCCGAATTTCTCAGGTAATGTCAGATACTGGAAAGCTAAAATTCCACTGGACAAAGTGATACAGCCACCGCCAACTAGAGAAAGTTAGGGTAGCATTTGATTAGAGGAGCAGCTTATGTTATTGCCAAAAAGAGTAGCTCTAAGGATTGAGAGGATTTTTAAAAATATCTAAAGGTGACCAAGAAAATGATAATGTGGGAGAAAATTGATGGAGAATCAAGTAGTAGGAAGTATCAAAAATAAATTTTGAGAACTTTTTAAGCTTTGTATAAAGGAAGAGAGTAGTGATTGTTATTGTTATTACACCCAAGGCAGAAGGAATTATAATAGAGAATCAGGAAATGGCAGAGATGTTAAAACAGACATTGTGTATCTGTTGTCAAAGTAGATAAAACAACAAATATACCAAAAATTGTGGGAAGTTGAGGGTCCAATAAAAGGCTAGTTCACCTGATGCTAGTAATGGGGATGGTGACAAATTACTTGGCAAGTCACAATATGATGAGAATGAAAAGTCATGGTGTTTGAACATGCTAGAGTTTTTTAAGGGTATAACTGGAAGGTGAATATGGAGAACCATAGGATGTATTGTATTGGGATTTTCAGAAGGTAAATAGTTTAGCGTTCGGGCTCATGGGATTGAGGCATATATGAGCATTGAATGAGGGTTGCTTAACAGACAGATAACAGAATCAGAACAAGCTGGTCATTTTGGGTTGGCAGACTGTAACCAGTCAAGGCTGTAAGGCTCTGCTTGTACCTCAATAGTGTGCAACCTACGTCAATGACTTTGAGGAGCCTTTGAGTGTAATATATCAAAGAAAGAAACCTATGAGCAGATGGGGCAAGCAGGTGGCGAATGGTGTATAATGTGTGGGTATGTGGAACTGTCCCCTTTATATGAAAAATTAATAGGTAGAACATTGTTTAGAATGTGAGACACAAGTGAATGACAGTATTCAGATGGATATGGGGATCCTATTACACAAATAGCAGAAAGTTATTGTTTGGGTACAACAAGAAGTTTGGAGAGCAAACTGCATGTTACTTTAATCAGAAGAATGTTATGCTCTAATAATGTTTTCAAGAAGGAGGGAGATATAACTCTTGTAGCTAAAGGAATCAAGGGACATTGGGGAGGGCAGAATTAGGGTATTGAGCTCAATGATCAGCCATGATCCTAATGAATGGCAGAGCAGGCTCAAGGGGTCAAATGGCCTACATCAGCTCTTGTCTTTCTATGTTGCTACATGGGAGTCTTGCTGTAATGGTATCGTGTTTGATTCCATGCCCAGAGTAGGTATACACACAGACTTTTTGCTCATGATCATGCTGCCGTTTATGGAAGATTGCTGTGTGCAAACTAGCTGCTGTGTTTCCTATATTACAGCTGTAAAACATTTGGGACACCTGGTGGTTGCAAAATGTGCTGTATAATTCCAAGTTTTTCTTTGTTGAAGTTATTTGAACACACTGTGATACTCTGTCTTTGGAAGGTTAGAGGTAGGGGGACCAGTCTCAGAATAAGGGTTTGGCTATTTGTGACTCAGATGAGGAGAAACTGTCTTCATTCAGAAAATCATGTCGATCTGTGAGATCCTCCATGCAAGAGGAGTCTGTATGTTCAGTCATTTAGTCTGTTCAAAACGGAGGTTGATAGATGTCCGGGCACAAGTGAAATCTCAGGATATATTGTGACTGGTGCTTTTTATATGTTCGTTTCAAATATAGCGGAGTGAAATTCGGGTATTGTTCTCAAACAATACTCAATGCAAGAGTCAAACTAGAAACAAACTCTCAGACAGCACCTCCATCAATATAAAGAGATTCATGGATTCATACAGCGTGGAAAAGGCCCTTCGGCCCCTTGAGATGCACCAACATGACTACCACTAGAAGAGTCCTAATCCCATTTTCCTGCAGTTGTCCCATATCCATGAATGTAATGATATTTGAAGTGCTCATTGAAATATTTTTTAAAGGTTGTAAGGTTTTCTATGTCCACCACCTTCCCAGGCAATGTGTTCCAGATTCCCACCACCTGCTGAGTGAAAATTTTTCCCAAATCCCCTCTGAATCTCCTGCCCCTTACCCTAATATTGTGCTGTCTTGTGATTGACCCCTCAGCCAAGGGGAGCAGCTGCTTTCTATTCAACCTGTCCTTGCCCTCACAATCTTATACACCCAAATCATGCTCCCCCTTAGTCTTCTCTGCTGTACAGAAAGCAATCCAAGCCTATCTAATCGCTCTTTATAGCACAGTTTCTCCATCACAGGCAACATTCAGGTGAACCTCCTCTGTACTGCGTCCAGTGCTATCATTGTGCTACGCTTGTAAAGAGACAACCAGAATTGCATAGATACATAAACCTTTTTCACAATAATTGTGTAGCTAAATAGTTCTGCAGTTGGAGCATACAACCCACTCTTCCCAGGAAAATATTTCAGCTCTGTTTTCTGCACGGTTGAGGTGGGGAGTGTGGGGTCCTGAAGTGACGAATACTCCAATGCTGAATGTGCCCACCCTGCCATGGGTGGACCCACATGGTGTTTGATGACGCAGGTGGGTATGATGCTTTAGTTTCCAGACTCTTTGCTGTTTGTGTTGGTCCTCCACCCGGACCTGATGGAGATGTTCAAAGCAGTCGGAACCTTTGCGGATGCATCTTCACCAGTTTGGTGGCATCGTCAGCAAACTTATAAGTGGAGCTAGGCACGATTTTGCCACACAGTTGTGGGTGCATCAGGAGTACAGTAGAGGGCTGAGTACCCAGCCTTGCAGGGCACCAGTGTTGAGAATTACTGTGGAGGAGGTGACGTCGCCTATTCTTAATGATTGCAGTCAATGGGTCAGGAAGCCAAGGATCCAGTTACAGTGAGGGGGTCTGAGACCTAGGTCTCGGAGTTTGGAGATGAGTTTGTTTGGAATTATGGTATTGAAATCATACCTGTAGCCAGTAAGTAGGATGTAGGGATCCTTTATCCCCAGACGATTCAGGGATGAGTTGTAGGGCCAGGAAGATGGTGTCTCCCGTGGATCCGTTACACTGGTAGGTGAATTGCAAAGGATCAAGGCAATCTGGTAGACTGGAGTTGATTTGGGCCATGACTAACCTCACGAAGCACTCCATAATTATGGAAGTCACAGTCACTGGGCAGTAGTCATTGAGGCACACCTCATGATTTTTGTTTGGCACAGTGTCGATGGTGGTCTTCATGAAGCAGGTGGGCATTTCAGATTGAAGTAAGTAGAGGTTAAAGATGTCAGCAGATACTCCCACCAATTGGTCTGCACAGGATCTGAGTGCATGGCCAGACACTCCCTCCGGGCCAGTCACTTTATGTGGGTTCACTCAAGAAGGCTAATCTAACATCTGTGGCAGTAACCGTGGGTGCAGGTGCATTTGAGGCTATTGGGACAGGTGATATCGTTTCACTGACCTTCTGTTCAGACCGAGCGTAGAATGGATTGAGTTCATCAGGTAGGGGTGTATTGTTGCCCACGATTCCGTTTGATTTTGGTTTGTAGCCCGTTATGTTGTGTGAGCCTTGCCACAAACTGTGGGTGTCCATGTGGTTAGTCTAGGTCTCACGCTTAGTTTGGTATTGCCTTTTGGAATCTCTGGCCATGCAAAGGTCATATCTGGATCTCCTGTATAGGTCATGGTCGCCTGACTTGAACGCCTCAGACCTGGACTTCAGTAGGGAGTGGATCTTCCGGTGCATCCATGGTTTCTGGTTAGGGAGCATTCGGATTAATTTCTTCGGCGTACAGTCTTCTACGCACTTCATTAATGAAGTCTGTAACTGTAGTGGCATATTCGTTTAGATTGAATGGTAACTTCTTGAATATGGACCAGCCCACTGACTCTGAGCAGTTCCATCGAAGATCTTCCATTGCCTCAGACCAGCACTGCATTACTTTCTGTACTGAGTCGTCTTGCTTCAATTTCTGCTTGTAAGCTGGGTGGACGAGCACAGCACTCTGATCTAATTTTTCCAAAATGCAGATAGTGTGTGGAATGGTAGGCATTTTTGGTTGTTTAGTAATGGTCAAAGATGTTTAGATCTCTGGTGGGACAGGAGACATGTTGATGGTATTTTGGTAGCACGTTCTTGAGGTTGACCTGGTTGAAGTCACTGGCTACGATAAACAGTGACTCAGGGTATTCCATCTCAAGACTGTTTTTAGCATTGTATAGTTCATCAAGTGCACTTTTCAATTCCACATGGTTTGGGATGTAGACCGCTGTCAGGATAGCAGGTTGTGCGGCAGGTCGTAGGGACGGGACTTCACTGTAAAATATTCTGGACCCAGGGAGTAGTAACTCGCCAGGGTCGCCACAACTGAGAAACAGGAATTGTTGATCAGGAAGCGGACCCCATCGCCCCTTGCTTTGCCATAGAACACCAAGCAATCCTTTCGGTGAACTGAGAAACCTTCAGCTTGTAAGGCAGAGTCAGGTGTACCAGAAATGAACCGTATCTCTGAGAAAGCTTGAGTTTCTCATCAGTGCCATTGATGATGGATGTAGGGGCAGACCAGGTGCTGTGGACATTGTGTGGTTCCTGATTATGGAGAGTTGCCAGGTTGACTGAGAGGCACTGATTGAGTAGTTTTCTTTCTCTGCAGAGCTCTTGAATCCATTAAAATTAAATTTCTAGATTCTGCTGTCTTGGGGCAAAGCTGATGGACAAAGCAGACCAGATTTAGGCAATGGTCTGTCCAGCAGTCATCCGCTCCTGTGTGAGTGTTGTGAACATCCTTGTGGTCCCCTGCTCAGCCAATGACGTGGTCAAGCAGCTATCAATGACTACAAGGGTTGCCATGAGGTCTTGTATCTCTAATGAAATGGGGTGTTAATCGTTACTAGACCATGGTCCAGGCATTTTATCAGTACCACGACCTTTGGTTTCACCTTTCCCATGCTTTCCTTGCCAATCATACTTGTCTGGCGGTTTGTCTTCTTCTTAACTCTAGCACTGAAATCACCAAGGAAGAATTAACCTGTCTCCGTCTGGGATGTGGGGCAGTGACTAATCAAGACTGGAATAGAACTCCTGTTTGGCCTCATCCATTACTTCTAGGGTTGGAGTGTAAACAGAGAAGGCTGTGATGTACTGTTTCTAGGAATAGGTGAGCCGAAGAATCACAAAGTGTTAATTTATCCTAGGGGGGCTTATTGAGATGGTCGACTTATTCGTTTTTTGTGACAAAACCAACTCCATGGAGTCAGTGCTGTTCCTCATTTACTCTCTTGCAGAAAAAGGTGTATCTGCCTTCTTGTTCTCTGAGCTGATCTTCTGCCTGCCTGCCTGCCATGTTTCACTCACGGCAGCAATGTTAATGTCATAACACCGGAGTTCCTAGGCGATGATAGTGATCTGACATTCAGGTCTGTCACTGCTGGGGTTCTCCATGTGTCAAACATCATTTTGAGGAGGTGGAAGATGCAAGTATGTAGGATCTTTTAATGTGGGATGGCCATTGCTCATTGTCTACCACACAGTCCTGGTAGAGCAACATCTTTGTCCAATGACAGAGATAGCTGGGGGTTCAGGCACCACTGCATAGGTGGTTGGAACATGCTCCATGCAATTTCAAGCTCCCCTTTCCACTTGAAGACTGAAGCGAGCAACCATGGCTAGCACTCAGTTGATACCTCTCCCCCCTCTGAGTCTGAAGGATCTGAACTCAAATCTCACTCCAGGACCCAAGTGTGACAGTTTGGGTGAGGTTCCAGTGCAGCACAAAGGGAGTGCTGCATTGTTGGAGGTTTCATTTTGCAGATGAGACATTGAACCAAAGTCCCATCTGCCCTCCAGTATAGCAAACAAATCCCGTAACAGTAGTTCAAAAAGAGCAGATGAGGTATCCTGGCTGTCCAGGTTATCTCTCGCTTAACATGATAAAATCCAGTTGGTTGGTGCCATCTTGTTCTTTGTAAGAATTTTCTGTCCACAAACAGGCTGCTCCATTTCCTACATTACAACAGTGACTCCTCTCCCAGCATTATTAGTAGGCTGTCAAGCATATGAAATGTCTGATGGTGCTGGAAGGTGCTACATAAATCTTGAATTTTTCTTTTTCAGTTTGTGAACCTTCTAGGACTTGATATGGACCATGTTCAATAGAAGTTTTTTGAACACACTAGAATACAGGTTAGGATGTGTTCTGCCCATTTAAGTAATATGGGCTCAATATATACTAATTTCTGAGTGTGAGTTTTGTACCAAATCTGCACCAGAGGCGGGAATGTGACTGCTTTGGTTTCCACAGGCTTTGGCATACCCTTGACAGCAGCCTGAAATCACTGTTGAATCAATTTACACTGGTCCACAGTGTTATTTGCAAATATGTGGATAAACAAAGTGAAGGGGTTTCCACACCAGATCAGGCTAGTGTTTTCCAGCTTGACAGCGATCCCCAAAGATCTCTAGAAGTGAACAGCAGTTTATATTTTTATGGCATGTTTTGTGTAACTAACTGAAGGAACACTTGGGGAAGTTTATTTTTCATTCACATTCTATAGACTGGGACTTCGCAAGAGTGCTCTTCCCAGCTTCACAGCGCAACTATGCTTGGTCCTCTGCAAGTTCTGCATACATTGGGGTTTGTGATGGTTCTTGGGAATCCTCAGGCTCCATCTCCTCATTTGCCTACTCATGAAAACAGTCTTTCACTGTTTACTCAGGACTCAGCCCTTGGACTCCCCATCAGCACTGATAGGATGCCAAGGCACTGGGCCAAGTGCTGGAAAATGGGATTAAGAATAGTTAAGTAGTTGTTTTTGCCTGACATGGATGCAATGGGCATAAGGGCCTTTTTTTCTGTGCTGTCAATCTCAATGACTCCAAAGTCTGCTTCCTCTCTGCATCCTACTGCTGTTCCCCATTCTCCAGGATATTGGGATCTCATGCTCCCTCCTTCACTCTCTCCCCACCCAGGCACCTCTGATTGCTAATCCTTTATCTCCCTACCCTTGCTCATCATGTTAATTGCAATATATACAGGTCTAGCTTCAAGTTCTATATTTTTATGCTCATTGAGTTCTCTCTCAAATTTAGATTTATTTCCAATTTGAAGCTGCTGCAACACAATCAGCCAGCGACAGGATCTCACTCATTGACTGTATTACCTAGCACAAGATAATACCAGAAGGTAGCAATCACCAGACAATCCGAACAGTGATGGAGAGATCATAGATTGGCACTACTTGTAATCTCTGCTGAGTTGCAAAGCTCTGTATCAGAGTCTACAATACCCCATGATTTATATGTAGCAGGGGAAGCAGTCCCACACTCTGAGCTACCATGAATCAATTAATTGGAACTTATGATTAAAACTGCATGCTACACAATGTCTCTTTAAAGATATCAGAGACAAAGGGAAGAGAAACCAGGCCAATCAGAAACATACCCCACCTTTTAAATTTTCTGTTTTTTATTTACAGGTTCAAGACAATCCTCCAGATTATGACAAGTATTACCGTCAAATGAGTAAGGTAATTTGTTCTTGCGTGTTGATTCACAAGCTCAGACTTTCACTGCCATGTTCCTTTTGTGTTCCTTCTGATCCAAAACATGTTGCGCTTTGACTTCTTCCCTCTGCAGCCCCTGTGGTTAATGATTCTGATCAATTTCCTGTGGTTTGAAACTGCGCGGTCTGTCTCCTTCAAGATTAGAGCTCTAGAAGTGAACAATTGTTTGTATTTTCATGGCACATCTTGTGTAAAAAGTTGTCTCAGTGCTTGAACTGATGGAGATTGGTGGTGGAGAGGTGATTTCTGAAGGCCCACTGAGAGTAAACAGCCGCTGAATTTGAAGACTGAGCCAGAAGTGTGGCCTTAGCTTATGCTGTCTTTGATCGCTAGGAAATGATAAGTCATCAAAGACGTAACATTGCTAAAAGGCATACAGTCAAAGCTCTATGTCTTGCATTCATCAGGACTAGATGGCAAGAAACCAGTCTTGCAAAAGGAGCATCAATTTATACAGCATACAAAGAGAGTGCTGATTGTTTGGGAAATCATTGGCATGACAATGCACCAGGAACTGTTAACCATCAATCTTGGTTCTCAGACCATAAGACGTAAAAGGAAAAAAAGGCAATTCAGCCCAGTGAGTCTGCTTTGCTACTCAGTGAGATCATAGCTGATCTCTTAATCTCCAACTCCACTTACCTGTTTTTTTCCTCTCTAACCCTTGATTCATTTACTGATTAAAAATCTGTCTCTCTCAGCCTTTAATATACTTAATGGCACAGCCTTGACAGCCTGGTGAAGCATTTCACAGATTCATTATCCTCAGAGAATAAAATTCTCTAAATCTTCACAGATTTGACTGATCGATAGTTACTTTGCCCACTCTCCTAACTTGTTCGTTTATTTACCTAGTTTAAACTACGGAAGACTTTGATGTTAACTATTGCCTTATTTCTTTATTTTTCTTTCTTATTTCTTTATTATTCGGTGAAGTAATGCTTAACTTTTTAACTCTCATTTATCTTACTACTTTGTACCTGAGTGTTTTTGTACCGAGGTACCTTGGTACCTAAAATGGCACTACGTGAAGCAACATTATATGCTTTTCACTGTACTTCTGTACTTGAGTACATGTAGCAATAAAATTTAAACTCTAATCCAGTAAAATTCCTTCTCATCGCTATCTTAAATGGGTGCCTCCTTATTCTGGATAATGCCCTCTGGTCCTAATCTCTCCCACAAGAGAAAACAACCAAGGCAAACAAGACTATGGGCAAGGTTGAAAATGGAGTTAGAATAGCTTGGTGGATGTAATTGACCAGCATGGACACAATTGGCCAAAGGACCTTTTCCTATGTTGTAGACCTCTATGATTAATTTCTCTGTATCTATCCTATCATATTCCCTAAAAAGCTTAAATTAACGTTTTGAGTCTTGTGAGTCTTCTGACTTGAGTCACTGGACTTGAAACATTAACGTTATGTCTTCCTCACAGATGCTGCCAGACTTGCGGAGTTCCTCCAAAAATTTCTGTTTTCATTTCAGATCTCCAGCATCTGTAGTTCTTTATTTCATTATCCCCTGAGAATCTTATATGTTTCAATAAGGTCTCCTCTCATTCATCTAAACTCTGATGAATACAAGCCACCCACTCAACCTCTCCTCATTAGAAAATCTTTGCAAACCCAAGATCAGCCTAGTGAACCTTCTCAGATTACCTCCAATGCCAGTATATCGTTCCTTAAATAAGTGGCCAGAAACTGTTCACAGTATTCCAACTGTCATCTGTCTAGTTCTTTGTATAACTGTAGCAAGATCTCCCTATTTTTATTCACTGTTCCTTTTGAAATAAATGTCAATATTCCATTTGTCTTTCCCCAATACCCACTGTTCATGTAGACTGGTCAAGGTATTGTGGATTTCTAAATGCAAGAGATTGACATTTCATTTCCCAGTAAAAGAGATGCAATGTTTGTACAATTTCTGTTTGTCTAAATAAGGCGCAGTCTAGCATGCATAAACGCAACACTGTAAGCCCAACTAAAAATCTTAAATTGGTTTCTGGGCCAATTCCTAGTATAGTCAGAATTATTTAGCAAATGTTGTCAAGAATAGCAGAATCATATCTAATGTTTGGTTATGGTGTTCTAATTTAGTACAATGTATTTAATGTTTTATGTAGACAAAAGGAGCTCGTACATGTATTGCACCTTTTATTTGGGAAAGGAGTCATGGAGACATCCAGTCCCTCTCGCATGCACATCCTGATGAGAGCAAGATAAAAGCATCGACCTTGTGTCTCCTTTTAGCAATGTTTAAGTACTGTACTACAAAGCAATTATCTACAGACTTGATAACAGATGGGCACATGGATAATAAAGAAAAAAATGTCAAGAGATAAATTGAGTGTAGCAACCCTACAGTAATTAATGATTAATCATGTACAAAAAGCTGGGACTGGTTGTATGCTTTGCTTTATCTAAGCCGCTATGATCTACCTGTACAACTCACAAAACAAAGCCTTTCACTGTACTTAGGACATGTGACTACAATAAATCAAATAAAATCCAGGATAAGTATTAAAAAGTTTAACAGAAGAATATCCAATAATAGTGTCTCTGGATACAGCAGAGGTGATTGCACAGAAGTGCGATTAGAAAGGGTTTTGAAAATATTCAGTATTGGTAAAAATTGAGAGTACAAGAATAGGGAAGTCCTGCTGTAGCTGTACGGGCATTATTAAGACTGCTGTATAAAATTTTAGGCTCCTTACTTAAGGAGGGACAGATGTGCATTGGAGGCAGTTCAAGAAGTTTCACTTGGCGGATTGCTCTGATGAGAGGTCAGGTTAAGCAAGTTGAGCCCAACCACCATGGAGATTCAAAGAATGTGAGGTAATATTATTGAACAAAGTTTGAGAAGGCTAGGCAGAGAGGGTATTTTGCTTTGAATGGGAGTCTAGACCTAGAGCGCACAATGCAGAGACACGTGAGGTGAGGCACTTTCATTGGACGAACATTAAAAGACAATTTAAAATAAGGAGTACAATTCTAAATTTGTGGACCACAGTTTGTGGCTTTCCACTTACGAGAGATGAGGAGGAATCCAAATATAAAAACTGAGCCTAGAGATAAGTATGTAGAAGTGACTAAAACCAAGCTGAGTGGGAAGAAGGAACAGAGAATTTATCATTAATAGTACATCAGAGAGTAAAGTCTATGTAGGGAATGGTAGTGTAAAAATCACAAAATTGTCACTGCAGAAGGAAATATTTTCGCACATCATTCTAGCTTTGTTTATACATCGCTTGAAATCTATACCCTCTCATTCTTTTTTCTTTTATGAGCAGGAATAGCTTCTCACTATCTACTGTATCCAGCCCACTCATGATTTTGAAAACCTTTATCAAATCTCCTTTCAGCTGCCTCCTTTCTAGGGAGAACAGTCTCAATTTCTTCAATCTGTCCTCATAATTAAAAATACTCATTCTTGAAACCATTATTGTAAATTGCTTCTGCACTCACTCTAATATATTCACATCTTTCCTGTAATGTGGTGCCCATAACTGTACATGATACTCCAGCTCAGGTCCAAAAAGTGTCTTGTACAAGTTCAACATTACCTGCTTGCTCTTTTACTGTATGCCCCTATTAATTAATCTGAGACTACACTATGCTTTCTTAGCTGCTCTCTCCACCTGTCCTACCACCTTCAATTACCTATGCACATAAACACCCTCTGCTCCTGCACTCCTTTAGAATTGTACCCCTTATTTTACAATGTCTTTCAATGTTCTTCCAACCAAAGTGCATCACCTTTCATGTCTCTGCATTGAACCTCATCTTCTGCCTGTCATCCCACTCCACCACTTGTCAATGTCTTTTTGGAGTTCCACATTGTCCTCTTCACAGTTTAGAATTCTTCCAAGTTTAGCGTCATATGCAAATTTCAAAATTGTCCCAATACCAACCCTCTGGGAACTCTACTACAAATTATCTTTTGTTACCCTGTTTCCTATCACTTCTATCAATGTTGTGCCTATTTGCTACTGTCCTTCCTTCACAAGTCTTTTATGTAGCATAAAAATAAAATTGAAGCCACTTTATCTGAATGTGTAGAGTATTTGCAATAATTTTGATGAAATAGAGGCTCAGATAGAGAGAAATGGTTTAGATCTAATCACCATTACAAATTCATGGTAACAAGTTAGCCCAGTTGGAAAATAAAGATTCAAATTTTTCAGAAAGAGACACAATGGAAAAGGAGGAATAACCCTGATAATAAAGAATGCCATAAAGTCATTAATGAGAAGAGAATTAGACTCAAAATCAGGAAGTAGATTCCGTTTGGGTGGAGATGAAGAATAGAGTGATCTGAAAACCATGGTAAAAGTGAGATTTTAGGCTCTCTAACAGTAGTCAAGCCATTGGATAGTTCACTAAACAAGAAATGATTGGAGTTTATAATAGATGCACTGTAATAATTTTGGGGACTTTTAATATAGTCTGGACAAACCAAATTGGCAATGTGGTCTGGAAGATGAGTTCAAAGGATACTTTTGTGACAGCTTTTTGGAGCAATGAGTTGTAGAACAAGTAAGGACCAAGTAATTTTAGATCTAGTATCATGCAACGGAGACAGGATTAACTAGTAATGCCATAGTAACAGATCGAAAGAGTGATCATAGTTCCACTGACTTTTGTACTAAATTTGAAAGTAACATACTGAAATCACAAGCAGCAATCTAAAACTTCACTAATTACAGAGGAATGAGGGGAGAACCGCCTTTGGTTAATTTGTGGTAAATGAATAGTGGAAACATTAAAAGAAGTCATTCAAAATGTTCCACCAAGAATACAATTCATCGAAAAACAAAAACTCAACAAGATCCATCAATGTAATTAAGAATTGCATTAAATTAAAAGAAAAGGCTGATAATTTTGTTAAGAATAGTAATAAATTTGAGGATTGGAAGTGTTTTAGAAACCAGCACAGGCCCAAAAAAAGGAGAGAAAAGAGTAAAAAAACAGAATGAGAGTAATCTGGCAAGAAATATCACAGATTATAAGAGCTTCAACAAGTACGTAAAAAGGAAGAGAGTAGCCAAATATAAGAACAGTTCTTCCAAAATTCCATAGATTCCAGAATGATCCAACAAGATTGGAAGTGAACAAGTGTAATGCCATTATTCAAAAAAGAAGGGATACAAAAAACTGGGGTGGCTACTCTGACATCAGTCATGTGGAGTCTATGACAAACTGGAAAAGCATAGTGTGATCAGAACCAGTGAGCATGGTTTTATGAAAGAGAAATTCCATTTGGCAAATTTATTCGGAGATTTTTAAGGATGTGACTGGTAATAGAGATAAAGGGGAACCTGTAGATATAATATCCTTAGATTTCCAAAATGCATTTGGCAAGGGCTCCATGAGCTGGGGTGATATATTAGCCCAAATTGGGGATTGGTACAATCAGGTAGCAGGGAGAAATGGGGCATTTTCAAATTGGCAGGCTGTGAACAGCGTTGGATCACCAAGCTAATGAAAAGACAAATAGTAATATACCTTAAGTCCACTGACATTGTGGTAGGGGGGAATATAAGGTGTAAGGAAAACACCAGACTACAAAAAGCTCAAGACAAGTAAAGTGAGTGGGCAACCAGTAGGAAGGTATGAGGATGAGACAGTAGGAACTGCAGATGCTGGAGAATCTGAGATAACAATGTGTAGAGCTGGATGAACACAGCAGGCCAAGCAGCATCAGAGGAGCCGGAAGGCTGAAGTTTCGGGCCTAGACCCTTTCCTGAAGAAGGGTCAAGGCCCGAAACGTCAGCCTTCCTGCTCCTCTGATGCTGCTTGGCCTGCTGTGTTCATCCAGCTCTACACCTTGTTATCTTGGAAGGTATGAGGATATTTACTTTGGTCATTAGAATAGAAACACAGAAGATGTTTCAAAAGGTAGGAAACTTGTAAATGCTGATTTTCAGAAAGACCTGAGTGTACGTGTGCAAGGAACACAAGAACGTTACAATGAAGAATAAGCAAACATGAGGCTGTTTGAAGTCATTCCACTGTGCTAAACTGACCCTTTGACTGAAATGGCAGGGTCTTTGCCAAACTTGCCCAGGGACAGAATAGCAATGCACTGGACAGGAATTTTCTGATCAAGCATAGATTGGTGGAGGGTGGGATTTATTTACGGATCAATCTGAAGGTTATCCATTTGGATCGGAAAATGACTGTAAATGTTGTCTACATAGACCTTGAGAAGGCATTTCACAGGAGATTGTTAGCAAACTGTCAGGACAAACAGTACTGGAGGTAAGTTTGTGACATGGGTCGGTAGTTGGTTGGGAGGTATGAAATAGCAAGTTCAAGATATGTAGGGTTTGTGGTAGGCTGCAATGCTCATGTTCCTTTGCTCACTCTAATATGTTCTTTCTGTCGCAGTTCAGCCATCAGAATGTTTACCTCCATCAAGAGAGAGGAAGTGCTCGTTGTAACTTTACTGGTGCTGTGTCTTGCAGGGGGGTTTCTCATTCAGCACTCGGGACTGCGGCTGGATTGTAGCAGATTGCACAGCAGAAGGCTTAAAATCCATAATGCTGCTGCAGGAGAAGTGTCCCTTCATCAAGGATCACATTTCTGAGGAGCGACTGTTTGATGCCGTCAATGTGGTAGGCTGTGAATGTCTGTACCGACAGTGGATAATAGAACACATTATCCAGCCCTCCCACTCCACGACCCTCCACCCTCCACCTGCCCAGCCTTGCCCAACCCACTGATAAGTGAAGCATTTACTGGTATGGAACAATGGGCTGGGAATGGTGTGCAGGGGCATTATATATAACTATTCTAATCCCATTTTTCAGCAGTTGGCCCATAGTCTTGTATGCCTTAGCATTGCAAGTGTACATCTAATTACTTCCTAAATGTTACAAGGATTTCTGCCTCTGCCTAATAGGCAGTGAGTTCCAGATACCCACTACCCTCTGGCTGCAAATCTTTTCGTCACATCTCCTCTAAATCTTCTGCCCCTCACCTTAAATCTATGCCCCTGGTCATCGATCCCTTCATTAAGGGGAAATATTTGTTCCTGTCTATCCCATCTATGTTCCTCATAATTTTAAACATCTCTATTATGTCCCTCTCAATCTTCTCTACTCTAAGGAAAACAATCCCAATCTGTCTCAATCTCTCTTAATAATTGAAACTCTCCAGCCCAGGCTATATCCTGGTAAACCTCCTCTGCACCCTCTCCGATACTATCACATTCTTCCTCAGAAATGGATCCTAAAACTGTATACAATACTTTAGCTGTGACCTAACCAATATTTTTTTTAAAAGAAACAGGAATTGCAGGAGAAATGCAGCGTGTATGGCAAAATGGGGAAAGAAAGCAGAGTTAACATTTCTGGTCTCGTGACTGGAAGAATCAATAGCTGCTAGTGGGGACCATCAGTAACTGACAATGGGTTGGTTGTGGTAGCAACCCATGTGATGACAGGGCCTGCGTTATGAAGTTGGGTAAAGAACATGGAAGAAGGCGTTCAAGCCTTAAAATTATTGAACTTGATATTGAGTCCTGAACTTCACTGGACCACTGCAACAAGCGCAAGACAGAGATGTTGGCCGTGGAACACGGTGGTGTGTTGAACTGGCAGGAAACTGGAAGGTCAGGGTCATTGACCTGCTGAGTTTCTCCAGAAATTTCTGTTTTTGTTACAGATTTCCAGCACTGCAGTTCTTTGTTTTTTATTTGTTCAATGTTGTATACAGTTCCAGCATCACTTCCCTGCTCTTAAACTTGACTAATAAAGGCAAGTATCCCATATGCCTTCTGAACAACTTTATCCACCTGCCTTGATACCTTAAGGGACTGGTGTACATGCACACCAAGGTCTTTCTGATGCTACCATTCATCATGTATTCCCTTGTTTGTTCTGACCAAGTGCATCACCTCACATTTATCCAGATTGAATTCCATTTGTAACTGATCAGCCCATCTGATCAGCCTGTCTCTATCCCCCTGTAATCTAAGGCTATCCTCCTCACTATTTACCACCCCACCAATTTTTGAGTCACCAGTGAACTTACTGATCAACCCTCCTACATTCAAATCTTAGCCGTTGATATAAACCGCTAACAGCAAGGGACCCAACACTGACTCCTGTGGAACCCCACTGGACACAGACTTCCAGTCAGAAAAGCACCCTTCAGCCATCACCCTCTGCTTCCTGCCAATTGTGGATCCAATTGCCAAATTTCATTGGATCCCATGGCTGTTACCTTTGCTATCAGTCTCCCACGTGGCACTTTATTTAAAAAATGAGCCTTGCTAAGTCCAAATAGACGAGTGTCCTCAACTACACATCTGGTCACCTCTTTGAAAAATTAAAGCATTGTTGAGATGAACCAGCCATAAACAGACTAAGACTGAAATCTACAAAAACTGACAAGTTCTTATCTGTTATTTGCACCTGAGGTCACCTGAGCTTCAATTTTAGTCTAATCAACTTGCATTGTTATGTTAAGCAGATGTCCCTGGTCTTAGTTTTCTTATTTCCCAAAAGATATTTATCAGGCATGGTTTTTATCTAACCAAGGCCTGCCATATTATGATTATGCTGTCTCCAGTCACCTACCAATTACTCCCCAGTACCTGGCCTTATGTTTTGTGCCAAGGATTGTGAGATTAAATCCTTATCTTGTCTCTGTACATCAGATATCCTTCAGTTCTGTTTATATTTTTTTTCACAAATAGCACTTCCAACTAAAGCTGCTTAATATTTTCAACACCATCAAGATCCCAGAGTGTGGACTGCAATCCTGCACCATCAAATGCAGCAGTGTTGACACTGTGATGCTACAACATCAAACCAGCAGTGTAGACACTGTGATGCTACACCATCAAACTAGCAATTAAACTAATCATCTGATGCCTTCTTAAATGCCTCGATCGAACTATCCTCCAGACATACAGGTAGTGCATTCCAGGCGCTATCTACTGGCTGAGTGAAAAATATTTTTCTCCCCTTGTATTTTTTCCTTTTGCAAAACACTTAAAACTGTGTGCCCTCTAGTTCTTGATCTGTTTCAGTAATTTCTTCCTAGCCACTCTGTCCAGATTCCTCATTATTTTGAAAAGATCTATCAAGTCTCTTCTCAGCCTTCTCTCCTCCATGGAAAATATTTTCAACTTCTCCAGTCTTTCCTGTTAACTGAAGTATCTCATCCCTGGAACCATTGTCATAATCCTCTTCTGCTCACTCTCCAATGCATTCACATGGTGGGCAAATTATTGGAAGGGGCTCTGAGAGATAGGATTTATGATCACTTGGATAGCACAATTTGATTCATGATAGGCAGCATGGATTTGTGAGGGGTAGATCATGCCTCACAAACCTTACTGAATTCTTTGAAGAGGTGACCAAACACGTGGATGAAGGTAGAGCAGTAGTTGTAGTATACATGGATTTAAGTAAGGCGTTTGATAAGGTTCCCCATGGTAGGCTCATGCAGAAAGTAAGGAGGCATGGGACAGGGGGAAATGTGGCAGATTGGGTTCACAATTGGCTGACCCTTAGAAGACGAAGGGTGCTAGCGTACGGAAAATATTCAACACAGTGCTCAGTTACGAGTGGTGTACCACAAGGATCTGTTCTGGGTCCTCTTCTATTTGTGATTTTTGTAAATGATTTGGATGTAGGAGTGGAAGGGTGGATTAGTAAATTCGCGGACGATACGAAGATGGGTCGAGTTGTGGATAGTGCAGAGGGCTGTTCTAGGTTACAAAGGGACATTGATAGTATGCAGAGCTGGGCTGAGAAGTGGCAGATGGAGTTTAACCCTGAAAAGTGTGAGGTGATTCATTTTGGAAGGACAAACGTGAAAGCAGAATACAGGGTTAACGGAAAAATTCTTGGCAGTGTGGAGGAGCAGAGGAATCTTGGGGTTCATGTCCACAGTTCCCTGAAAGCTGCCACCCAGGTGGATAGAGTTGTTAAGAAGGTGTATGGTGTGTCAGCTTTCATTAATAGAGGGATTGAGTTCAAGAGCCGTGAGGTTGTGCTTCAGCTATACAAAACCCTGGTTCAGCCACATCTGGAGTATTGTGTCCAGTTCTGGTCACCTCATTACAGGAAAGATGTGGAAGCATTGGAAAAGGTGCAGAGGAGATTTAGCAGGATGTTGCCTGGAATGGAGGGAAGGCCTTACAAGGAAAGGTTGAGAGAGCTAGGCCTTTTCTCTTTAGAACAACGAAGGATGAGAGGTGACTTGATAGAGGTGTACAAAATGATCAGAGATATAGATAGAGTGGATAGCCAGAGACTTTTTCCTAGGATGGAGGTAGCTATTACAAGGGGGCATAGTTTTAAAGTGAGTGGAGGTAGATATAGGGGAAACGTCAGAGGTAGGTTCTTCACTCAGAGAGTGGTAGGGGCTTACCAGAGAGGGTAGTGGAGTCGGCCTCATGAGGGCCATTTAAGCGGCTATTAGATAGGCATATGGATGCTAGTATAAGGTAGGGGTGGAGGTTAGATAAACCTTAGGTTTAGGGTAAAAGTTCGGCACAACATCGTGGGCCGAAGGGCCTGTGCTGTGCTGTACTGTTCTATGTTCTATGTTCATCCTCCCTATGGTATGACACCCATAACTGTTCGCAATATTCAAGCTAAGATCTAATATAAACATATTTATATATCTCATAAATTCAGCATAACCTGTCTGCTCTTTTAGCCCATGTCCCTATTAATGAAGCCTAGAATACTATATCGTTCACTAACTGCTCTCTTTACGTGCCCTGCCACCTTCAGTGCTCTGTGAACGAATATCATTGGGTTTCTCTAGTCATGCACACTCTTTGAATCTGTGCCCTTTATTGTGTACTGCTTCTCCATGTTGTTTGTGTAAAAGTGTGTCACCTCATACTCTCCCCATTAAACTTCATCTGCCACTTATCCACCTATGCCACAGACTTGTCGACATTCTTTTGGAGTTCCACCACTGTCCTCCTCACAACTCTTCCAAGTTTTGTATCATCTGCAAACTTTGAAATTGTCACGTTTGTAATTCTCCAATCTTCTGACACCATCACTAAATCCGGGGAAGATAGAAAAATAATTGTGAGTGCCTCTGCAAGTCCACCTCCACTTCCTTCAATATCTTTGGATGCATCTCGTCCAGTCTCGGCATCTTATCAAGTTAAAAACTGACAAACAATCCAATATCACCACCTTGTTGTTTTAAAACCCTTCTAGTGACTGAGTTTCCTCCTGTGTCACCATAGCCTGGGCAGCAAATGCCTCATGTCGGTATAGTCAGATGTAGTCATTCAACAACTCAGCCACACCTTTGCCTCCATGTACAAATCCCTTTTTAGTTCCCTAATTTGCCCTGCTCCTTCTTTTATACTTCCCTAACTCTACCATTCAACCGTGCTCATTTCTGCCAACTGCATCATGACAAAACCTCCCTCCTTCTCTCAGCCTTCCTCTCCACCATGTGGCCCAGTGTAATTTACCTTGTCCCCTTCCTGTGGTAACTCAGCAAGGCTTAACTTTGCTTTCAAATGAGATCAAAAGTTGCTGGAGAAACTCAGCACGCCAGGCAGCATCTGTGGAGAGAGAAACCAAATTAACATTTCATATCAATGATATTTTATCAGATCATCATCAGCCAGAAATATTAACTCAACTTCTGTCTCTCCTGATGCAGCTGGACCTGCTGAGTTTCTCCAGTATTTTGAGATTTTGTTTTGTGGCTAATCCAATCCCCCTTTTCTTATTGCAGCTGCTCAGTATGAGAAACCCTGACGGTGGGTTTGCCACATACGAGACAAAGCGCGGGGGACGACTGCTCGAACTTCTGAACCCCTCAGAGGTTTTTGGTACGTCTCAAATTTATATTTTTTAAAAGAATTTTTATTTAATATATGCAAATCTTGGTAGGTTCTCCTGAAGCTCGGTTGTGCATGCAGTAAGTTTCAATACGATCTCTAAAGCACTGAATATATGAAATGGGACATGAGAATTTCATATAAAAACTTCAGTTTGAATAATTACAGTCCCCACTTGATTCTGTCCCTTTCTACTTCTTTGAAGTTGAATGAACGTGTGAGGTGTCAGACCCCTCTGTGGATTAAATTGTTGAAGACTCCAGTTTAAACACCAGGTGTTGTTCTGTGTCATCTATCCATAACAAGAAGGATTTGCATTGAATTTAGACTCTTAAGAAAGATATTCTGTTTGACCCAATTCTAAATGATTGAGTTCTGCATTCAGTTAGTGTTGCTGTCAGCTGTTAGCCAAGATACACCAGTAGATTAGGCCAGTAACTTGTTTGCTGGAATATTCTTAGTTATATCAGTCAAGACACAGTTAGAGATAGTCAATGAGTATTTTGCACAGGATGGTTATGAAAGGATTCAATTTATAAGCTGCTACCACGTTCCTCCTCTGTGTATTTGGTTAAGTTTTTGTTACCCTGACTTCCATCCTTTTCTCTTGTCTCCCTACAAGTATGAGTTCTGATCTTGCTCCTCTGGGCTCCACAGTACATGCCTGTTCAGTTTTGTATTATTTATAACGAGATATGGGCGTTACTAACTCTGCCATCATTTACTGCCTATCCCTAATTGACCTTGAAGGTGGTGGTGAGCTGCCTTCTTGAACTGCAGCAGTCCTTGGCGTGTAGGGACATGCACAATGCTGTTAGGGAGTTCCAGGATTTTGACCCAACGAAGAAGTAATGTAATGTTTCCAAGACAGAATGGGGAATGACTTGGAGAGGGCCATTTTAGGTGGTAATGTTCCCATGTATCTGCTGACCTGTCCTTCTAGGTAGTGTTGGTGTTGGAAGGTGTTGTCGAAGCAACCTCGGTGAATTTCTTTTTTTTAAAATTCATTTGTGTGATGTGGACATGGCTAACTGGCCAGCAGTTATTGCCCATCCCTAGTTTCCCTTGAGAAAGTAGTGATGAGCTGCCTTCTTGAACCGCTGCAGTCCACCTGCTGTGGGTTGACCAACAATGCCATTAGGCAGAAAATACCAGGATCTTGACTCCGTAACAATGAAGGAATGGCAATATATTTCCAAGTCAGGATGATGAGTGACTTGGAGGGGAACTTGAAGGTTCTGGTGGTTGTGGGTTTAGAAGAGGATCTGAGGTCTGAGGATCTTTGGTGAATTTTCGCAGTGCATCTTGGGGGTAGTTCACCCAGATACTACTGTGCGTCAATGATGAATGCAGCGAATGTTGAATATAATGGATCAGGTGCCAGTTTAGCAGGTTTCTTTGTTCTGGATGGTGTCAGGTTTTTTGAGTGTTGTTGGAGTTACTCTAATCCAGGCAAGTGGGGAATGTTTCATCACAATCCTTACTTGTGCCTTGTTGATGGTGGACAGGCTTTGAGGAGACGGAAAGTGAGTCACTTGCTGCAGGATTCTTGGTCTCTGATCTGATCTTATACCCACAGTATTTATATGGCAAGTCCAGTTGTGTTTCTGGTCAATGGTAAGCTCCCAGGATGTTGATAGTGGGGACTGGTAACTCCATAGAACATCAAAGTGGTTAGCTTGTCTATTATTGGAGATGACTGTTGCCTGGCATTGGTATGGCACAAATGTAAATTGCCAGCGTTCAGCCCAAGCCTGGATATTTTCTATGTCTTGCTGCATTTGCACATGGACTGCTTAAGTATCTAAGGAGGTATGAATGGTGCTGAAAATTGTGCAGTCATTGGCAAATATCTTCACTTATATTGGAGAGAATGTCATTAATGAAGCAGCTGAAGATAGTTGTGCCTAGGACACTTTGCTGAGGAACTCCTGCAGAGATATTCTAGAGCTGAGAAGACTGATCTCCAACAGCTACAACCATCTTCCTTTGCGCCAAGTATGGCGCCAACCAGTGGAGAATTTTTCCCCCGATTTCTAATGACTCCAATTTTGCTATGGCTCGTTGATGCTACACTTGGTCAAATGCAGCCTCAATGTCAAAGGCTGCAGCTCTTACCTCACCTCTGAAATTCAGCTCTTTTGTCCATGTTTGAACCAAGGCTGCCATGAGGTCAGGTGCTGAATAGCCCGAGTGAACCCAAAGTGGGCATTTGAGAGCAGGTTATTGCTGAGCAGGTACTGCTTGGAGCACCGTTGATAACAATTTCCATTTTTACTGATGATTGAGAGGAGACTGAAGGGGTAGTAATTGGCTTTTTGTATACAGGACATAACTGGGCAATTTTTCACATTGTCGAGTAGGTACCAGTGTTGTAGCTGTACTGAAACAGCTTGGGCATGGAAAGTTCTGGAACACACATCTTCAGTACTATTCTAGAATGTTGTCAGGGTCTGTAATGTTTCATTTCAGCAAGTAATCTAGATACCATACGTAATGTTGGGGACCTCGGGAGGAGGCCGAGAAAGATGACCCCCTTGACACTTCCAGCTGATTCCTGTCAGAAGTCAGAAATTGAGCTTGTAACTCTAATCTGTGATTTCTCTATAGTTCAATATTCCTTTGATTTTTAAGTATGGCATCATGGGACCCAGGGTCCTCACAACCCATTTGAACTAGTTTGGTTGTGGAGGTGTGTGTTAATGCTACTTTCACCGCTCCCCTTCTCAAACCTCTGTCCCACTGTTAGTAACTGCGAGACATCTCCATGCTGACATTTGAAATGAAGCTAATTTTTCTTTCCCATCAGCTGCCCTCAGAGCTTTGGACTTCTCGTTCACTCACCCCAACTCCCCTGATTCCAAAAGTGTGAATTATACAAATTGTCCAGCCAACATTGGATTGTTGTACTTCGGCAGCTTTGCTAGTTGAAGTGATTCCCTGTGCTTGCCTGTCTCCGAATTCTCTTTCTCTTTTTTTCAATGTATCATAGGAAAATAAGGACAGGTATAGGCTATTCAGCCGTTGGAGCCTGTCCTGCCATTCATAAAGATCATGCCTAATGGAACACTTCGTTGCCTTTTACCCACCCACTCCCATATCCTGTACACCACTGTTAATCATAAATCTATCAATCTCTTCTTTAAACATACTCACAGACTCAGCTTCCATGACCCTCTGTGGTAGAGAAATCCAAAGGTTTACAACCTTCTGAAACATAACTGCCCTATTCTTCCACTCAATAAAAAATAACATTCTGTTAGTTTTCCTGATTACTTGCTATACCTGCATTCAAACCTTCTGTCATTCATCTGCTGAGACATCCAGATCTCTGTACGTGTCAGAGCTGTGCAACCTCTCACCATTTAGACAATATGCTTTTTTATTCTTTCTGCAGAAAAATGAACAATTTCACATCTTTCCCATAACTTACTCCATTTGCCAGATCTTTGCCTTCTCACTTAACCTATTTGATCCCTTTGTAACCTCATGTCCTTTCCACTCGTCACTTTTCTATCTACCTTTGAATCATCAGCAATTTTAGCAACCGTCCCTTCGATACCTTCATCGTAACCATTTATAGTAAGGGTTGAGACCCCAGCACCGACCCCTGTGGCACATCATTTAAGACATCCTTCCAGCCTGAAAAAGACCCATTTATTCTCTGCCACCTGTTACCCAGCCAATCATCTGTCCGTGCCAATATGTTCTCCCCTATACTATGAGCTTTTATTTTCCTTAATAACCTTTGGTGTGGCACCTTATCAAATGTTTTTGTAAAGCTAAGTACGATACATCCACCAGTTCCCCTTTATTCAAAGCACAACCTAATTCTTCAAAGAACTCCAATAAATTAGTTAAATATTATTTCCCTTTGATAAAGCCATGTTGGTCCTGCCTGATTACCTTGAACTTATCCAAGCGCCCTGTTATAACATTTTTAATAATGGCTTCCAACATTTACTGGCCCAGTTTGCCCGGTGTCTTTCCATAGGACAGTCCCGCCATCCATTTGGTACCTGACCACTTATTCTCCCTCTGTTTCTCCTCCGCTTTGTGCAAATCAGGCTTTGGCTCTACTCCCCAGAAGAACTGTCACTCTCACCATTATCTGATGCTGAAAATTTGTTCTTGCGTGAGATGCACTCTGAGGCTTTCCTGACTACTTTCCTGCCTTCTTCTGACTAATGGTCCCTTATTCCTTCTCTGACTACACTTCCTTAAGCTGCATGGTGACCGTGTCTAAAAATGTGTTATCCATATAACTCTCAGCCTCGCGGATGCACTGCATACCTCCAGCTGCCGCTCAAGTTAGTCAAACTGGTGGCACTTCCTGCAGATCTGGTCTTCCAGACTGTTAGGAGGATCTAAAACTTCCCACATACTGTAGGCAGTGAAATACACGGGACTGAGCTCTCCTGCCATACTTTCAGTTAAAATACTCCTTCCATAAATTTAAGCCGAGTGGAAGCTTATCTAAGTTTTGCTGGAACTCTCGCCTTTTCTTAATGCAGTTTTAAAGTTTACCCATTACCTACTAATTAGGTGCCTGCTTCATGTTGTCATCACACTTGTCAGGATTTTTTTTAAAAAAATGATGGAGTCCCTGTTAGGGTTAAGCTGCTGTTCTGACTGAGCTTAATCTCTTAATCTTACTCCCACTGGATTTTATATGGCCCCAGGCTTCTCCTTATGCCTTGTCAGAAGGTCCTAATTTCGTCCCCTCTCAGTGATGCTGCCCGCATGTCACAGGGTTCTCACCTTTTAGAACATAGAACAGTACAGCACAGGAACGGGCCCTTTGCCCTCCCCCCATTTATGTGCTGATCCTAATGCCATTCTAAACTAATCCCATCTCCCTGCACTTGGTCCATATTCCTCTATTCTCTATCTGTTCATGTGTCTGTCTAAATGTCTGTTAAACATTGCTATCGTGTTTCTGCCGCCTCCCCTGTGAGTGTTCCAGGAACAAGGGATCATGTATGTGGAAAGAAACAGTTTCCTTGCACATCTCCTTTACACTTATTTCTTCTCAGCTCAAACCAATGTCCCCTAGTATTAGACATTTCCATCCTGGGAAGGAAAATCCGACTGTCTAACCTATCCATGCCTCTCACAATTTTATTTACTTCTATCGGATCAGCCAGTCAGCTTCCGACGCTCTAGCAAAAACAAACCAAGTTTGTCTGACCTCTTCTTATGGTTAATGCACTCAATCGAGGCAACATCCTGGTAAAGAGATAGCAAGAACTGTAGGCGCTGGAGTCAGAGGGAACACAGCAAGCCAGGCAGCACCAGAGGAGCAGAAATCTGAGGAGGGGTCCCGACCCGAAACGTCAACTTTCCTACTCCTCTGATGCTGTCTGGCCTGCTTTGTTCCTCCAACATCCTGGTAAACCTCTTTTACAGCCTCTCCAAGACCTCCACGTCATTCCTATACTATGGTGACCGGAACTGCTCACGATACTCCAAATATGGCCCCACTAAAGTCTTATAAAGCTGCAACGTGTCTTCTCAACTTTTAAACTCTGTCCTGACCAATGAAGGCAAGCTTGCCATACATCTTCTTTACTACCTTAACAACTGTGTTGTCACTTTCAGGGAGCTATGGACTTGCCAAGATGCCTCTGTTTACATCAATTTTCCTAAGGGTTGTGCCATTTACTGGATACTTTCCTCTTGCATTTGATTTTCCAACTGATCTATATCATACTGTATCCTCTGATGACCATCCTCACTATCCTCAAGTCTACTTTCTAATCAAGCCACCTACATTTTAATCCAAATCACTTATAAATATTGCAAACAACAGAGGTCCCAGCACTGATTCTTGCAAGACGCCACTGGTCACGGATCTTCAGTCAGAAAAATGCTCTTCACCACACCCATTCCTCTCTGTAATGTTGCCTGTCGCAATGTCCATACCTCACTTGGGTCTCTCCCAATTCAAGTGGACCCTATCCCAGCAGCAGGGAAGTAAGTTGTCTTTGACATGGTACAAGTCTGTGAAGAGATATAGACAGGTTAAGTGACTGGGCAAACAAATTGTAAATGGATTATAATGTGGGAAAATGTGGATTTGTCCAGTTGGTCGTAAGAATATAAAAGCAACATATTGTTTAAATGGAGAAAGATTACAGGACTTGGTGATAGAGGAGTTTGAGTGTTCTGTTACTTGAATTGCAGGTGCAGCTAGTGGTTCTAAAGGCAAGTAGAATCCTGTACACTATATTGGTGAAACCACATCCAGAATACTGTGTGCACTTTTGGCTTCCTTATTTGGAAAGGAATGTTATCTCATTAGATTCAGTTGAGAGAAGGTTCATTCCTGGGATGAAAGTGTGATGAAGAAAGGTTGGGCATACACCCACTGGAGTTCCAAAGCATGACGTCATGATCTTGTTCTAATGTACAAGATCCTAAGGGTCTTGACTTGGTCGTACTGAAAGGATATTCCCCTTGTGGGGGAGATTAGAACAAAGGAACATAGGGTACAAACAAAGGATCAGTCATTTAAGACAGATGAGAATTATTTATGAGTTATTAGTGTGTGGAATTCTTTTCCTCAGAATACAGCAGAGGCCGAATTGGAATTTTGACAGACAAGGAGACGTCAAGGGTTATGAGGTGCCAGACAGGAAAGTGGAGTTAAGACCACAACCAGAATCTTATTGAATAGTAGAGCAGGCTCAAGGGTTGAATGGCCTACTCCTGTTCTTTAGTTCTATGTTCCTGTGTAATGGTATAGTTCCTGTCTCAGTACTGATGCCAATGACTATGAAATGGAAGCCTCCTTTACCAAACAACTCCTTCAGTCCCATGCTCATCTCTCTGCTCTGAGAGCCAGTAGACATTGGCTTGACACCATGTCACTGGCAACGGAAATGAGGATGTTGAGGGCAGGAAGGGAAGAAATGAAGACTGCTCACGTAGTCAACGGATGCATGTAAATTGGGAGCAAAGTTTTCCGTTTTGGAGCTCATGCAGGAAGTGGCACTGATTCGGTCAACAACATAGAGGAACAAGGCCCGAGAGAGTGGATGTAACTAGAACTGGAACAGCTTTCTCCCCATATACAGCCTATCAAATGTGTGATAAAGTTCCCATTACAGGTCTTGTTACATTTGAAATCTCTTCAATATTGTTGCTTGTGATAGTGTTTCATTATCCCAAAAGTTTGTCGCTATATTGACTAAAAACTTTCCTGATATCAGTTTGAAATTTGCTTTCATCTAATTTAAAATAATAAATTCCTACTTTTTTTAATCATCTGGGTTCAGGGCAGCCATGGATTGTTTCATGGTACACCTCGGAGTCTGAAAGCTGTGAGTTCAAGTCCGACTTGAGTATGAACATCCAGACTGACAACCCAGTGCAGTCTTAACAGAGTCTTGCATTGTCAAAGATGGTATCTTTCACAAGAAACATTATGTCAGATCTGCTGCTCTCTCAGGTCGTTACAAAATATCAGATGGCACTATTTTGAAGTAGGCCAGAGGTGTGGTTCTTCATCCCTTACAATATTTATTCCTCAAAGTAGCATCACAAAGCTCGGGAGTTTACTGTGTGCAGATTGGCTGCCTCATTTCTGACATTACGGCAGTGACTGCTCTTTACAGCCAGTAATATACTTCTAAAAATGCTCTGGGACATGCTGTGGTTGCAAAAGGTGATATATAAATTCACATGTCTTTTTTCTTATCTTGTCTAAGATCATTTTTATATCTGTAATGTTAATCAAGTCACTCTGCCCAAGTAATGAAAAGCAACAAATAGACACCATTATTAAATACGTCTCTTTTCTGCAGGCGATATAATGATTGATTACACGTATGTTGAGTGCACATCTGCTGTCATGCAGGCATTGAAACATTTCCGTGAGAAATATCCATACCACAGAGTGAGGGAGATCCGGTGAGTATATTAGACACTAATAAATTGCCAGAGCAGCTTCCTTTACATCAGCTCCAACATGGATATGAATTGTTCAGTGCTTTGCAAAAGCTGTACCTAAACGGCCATCTACTTTCTAACCATTTAATCTGATCTTTTCAGCGACACTTTGGAAAAGGGCCTTGAGTACTGTCGGAGAATGCAGAATCCAGACGGGTCATGGGAAGGGTGAGTGGGTTGTGAGTGTTGCAAGTATTGAAAAATCTTCGAAGTAAAGAGCATGAATTTGGCAATGAAGTGAAGCCTGAGTCTTTATGTGATGGTTTCTCCTTCTACCACCTTGGGAATGGAAAGAGTCACCAAAGCAAGATGGATTAGAGCTTACCACTCTGAATGTTTTCAGTGTATGAAAAGAGCAGGAGTAGGTCATTCAGCCAATCAAGCCTGCTCCACTCTTCAATAAGGCTTGTCTGAGGTCTCAGCTCCTTTTTGCTGCCTGTGCCTCCCCCCGGCAAAAATCCTCAACTTCCTTGTAGATTAAAATTCTGACAAATGCACCCTTGAGTTTATTCAATGTCCCATTGTCATTGTGCTCTGGGGTAGAAAATTCCAAAGGTCATTCATCTTCTGGGAGTAGATATGATCATGGCGAGGTGACGGCATCATCCAACAATCCAGGGTCCCAGGTTAGTGCTCTAACACATGGCAGCTAGCGAAATGTACATTCAAATAATAAGGGTTCAGAAAAGATTTACAAGGATGTTGCCAGGGTTTGGAGGGTTTGAGCTAGAGGGAGAGGCTGAATAGGCTGGGGCTGTTTTCCCTAAAGCATCGGAGGCTGAGATATGGCCTTGTAAAAGTTTATAAAATCATGAAGGGCATAGATAGGGTGAATAGCCAAGGTCTTTTCCCCAGTGTAGGGTAGTCCAAAACTAGAGGGCATAGGTTTAAGGTGAGATGGGAAAGATTTAAAAGGGACGTAAGGGGCAACTTTTTCATACAGAGGATGGTGTATACGATGAGGAGGTGGTGGAGGCTGGTACAATTGCAACATTTAACAGACATCTGGATGGATATATGAATAGGAAGAGTTTAGAAGGAGATGGGCCAAATGCTGGCAAATGGAACTAGATTAATTTAGGATCTCTCTTCAGCATGGACATGTGGACTGAAGGATCTGTTTCCATGCTGTACAGCTCTATGACTCTAAGTATAAGTTCCACTTACCTTTTCGCAGGAGCTGGGGTGTCTGCTTTACCTATGGAACCTGGTTTGGCCTGGAGGCTTTTGCCTGCATGGGACACACCTATCAGAAAGGGTAAGTGAATATTGTACCTGAGCTGCTATGTACAGAATCCTCTGATGTATAATATATTCTGCATTCATATAACGTACTGGGGACTCTGTAAATGTTTGCCATTACCTAGTCACTGTAATCCTTTTCAGTAATGCCCAATTTATCATAGGCAGTTCGTACCTCATACCATAATAGTTCTTTTTATTTAAATTCAGGGCCAGAATCAACTACGTCACTCTCCATCTTAATGACTCACTATCCTGACTTGAAAATATACTGCCATTCCTTCAGTGTTGCTGGATCAAAATCCTGGAATTCTCTCTCTAACAAAATTTTGGGTTAATCTACAACACATGGACTGCAACAGTTCAAGGAGGCAGCTCACCACTACCCTGTGAGGGCAGGTAGCAATAGGCAGTAATCGCTGGCCAGCCAGCGATGTCCACACCCTGTGAGTGAATGAATTAAAATAAACAGTTCAGTCATTGTCTTATTGAATGATAGATCAGGTTCAAGAGGGCCAGTGGCCTGCTCATGCTCCTAATTCATGTGCTTGTTTATGTTGAGACTGGAGAAATTATGATAGGGAACAAGGAGATGGGAAGCATTAAATGAATGTATCTCTCATGCTGAAAATGGTGGTAAGTTAAGGGCCTAATGAGAATCAGGAACTTGCAGAAATGATTATTCATAAAGAAGTAACAGAGTGTTCTAGAATTCCCTAGAACCTAGAACAGCTGAAATACAAGGTTGTCTTTACTTTCTAGAGGGGAATGAGAGTGCAGGGATTATGGGGACAGCTAGCCTGATGTCAGTAGCAAGGAAACTGCTGGGCATTTATTATGAAGGATGTGACAATAAACACATTGAAAATCATCTGTTTGGACAGAAATAACATGGATTAACGAAAAAGAAATGGTGTTTGACAAATCTGTTGGCATTTTTGAGATTGAATCTAGCAGAGTAGATAAAGGGGAACCAGTAGATGTAGCATATTTGGATTTTCAAAAAACATTCAAGATTGGGGTTCATGAATTAGGGTAATATATGACCTGTTCTTTTATTCTTATGAAGCTGCAACCTTATGATCGCCCTTTCACAAATGCATTGAAACTGTCATCTCCAATGATGAATTTTACAAGTACGTGCCACATAAACTGCAGTGCAACTGAATTGATTACAATCAAGAATCTTCTTGACCAGACTCAGTACACAAGAGAATGCATGATAAATTCTTCATATCTCTTGGGTTACATTGGCCCCATTTTATATTGTTTACAGTGGCTGAGCAACAGCACAATCTCATCGTTTGCTCTCAAAGTTCCAGCACTTTTTAAACATTTGTTTCTAACTTACTTAATCTGGAATAGACTAGCTGAGCCAAATACCCTGTTTGTTTCTCTGCTGTATGTCCTATATAATTTGTTATACAACACAAAAAAAATCATTTTGGTTAAGAGTCATTCATATTGTTGTGGGTCTGGAGTCAGATGTAGGCCAGAACGGGTGAGAATGGTAGATTTCCTTCCCTAAAGATCTTGATGACAGTCAATGCGAGTTGTCATGGCCACCATCACTGTGACTAACTTTCAAGTTCACATATATTAGTTGAACTGAAATTCCACCAGCTGCCATGACGAGATATGTCCCCAGAGCATTAACTTGGGCCTCAAGGTTACTAGTCTGTAGCCATTACAACTGTACCATTCCCTGAACATAGAAACAGGAGTAAACCACTTAGCCTGTCCCTCTGTTCAGTGAAATTGTGGCTAATTTCATGATCAAGACATATTGTGACAAACAGCACATCACATTGTTGCTCCTTTTTCCAGATATTGCTAGTTAAAAATAGCTGCATTGATAATGCATGGTTAGTTTCATCTGGCATTTTAACATGTTAGCTAATATTATCCAAAATCCCATTCTGTATAATTCCCTGATTTCCTTCCTAAATTATGTCCAAATTGGTTTTGTTTCATATCTAGCGCTGCATGCAGAGCAGTGACCCGTGCCTGCGAGTTCCTGCTGTCCAAACAGATGGAAGATGGAGGCTGGGGCGAAGACTTTGAATCATGTGAGCAAAGGAAATATGTGCAAAGTGCAAAGTCCCAAGTTCACAATACATGTTGGGCAGTATTGGGATTAATGGCTGCCAGGTAAGGATGGAGCTTTTTGTTGCATTTATTTTTAAAAAAAACCTTTGCCTCATTTCATCAGAAGTGTACTCAAAAATATCCAATTAACTATGGGAATGAACCAGTAATAGAATCATCACAGTACAGGAAGAGGTAATTCGGCCCATCAAGTCCATGCTGGCTCTCTGCAGAGCGACCCATTCAGTCCCAATTTTCCACTGTATCCCCATGGCCTAAAAGGTTATATCCCCCAGGTGTTCATCTAATTCTGTTGTGGAATCATTGATTGTCTCCATTTCCATCCCCTTATAGAATACAACTCCAAGTCCTTAATGCTTGCTGCATAAGAGAATTTTTTTTGTCTCTCACCTCTCTTCACCACACCCCCGACCCCACAAAATCCTGAAGGTTTCTTTCAAATCTCCCTGCAGCCTCCCTTTCTCCAAGTAGACTAACAGCTCTTTCTTCAGCTTAACCTTGTAGCTAATCTCCCTCATCCAATCTGATCAATGTCCCCTGCACCCTCTCAAAGACTTTCTCATCCTTCCTGAAGTGTGGTGGCTGAAACAACGCAATGATCTAACTCGGGCTTCACTGAGCTTTATAAAGATTCAGCATAATCTCCTTGCTTTTGTACTTAATACTTCAGTCAATGAAGCCCAAGATCCCAAATGTTTGTTAGCCACTGTCCTGGTATGTCCAACCATCTATAAAAGCTCTATTCATAAACATCCTAGGTCCCTCCTTTAAAGCACACTCTTTAAACCTGAAACAGAAACAAAAATTGCTGCACAACCTCAGCAGATCTGGCAGCATCTGTGGAGAGAAAGCAGAGTTAACGTTTTAAGTCCAGTGACCCATCTTCAGACGTGTGCTGTTTCATCTATAATTGTTTCCCCTTATGCTTTCTGCGTTAAATTTCATCTGCCAATTTTCCATGTCTATTAATGTCATCTTCCAGACTATTGGTATTGTCCTCACTATTTGCTACCTCTCCAAGTTTGTTTGATTGATTGTTCGATCAAATTTCCTCCTTCAACTTTCTATGTTACTTCAACAGTAAATTCAATCAGTCTATTATAAATACAATCCAAACCTCCTCAATTGACTCAGATCTGTCCTCATGCTGGGTGATTACTATTTCCCCTGATTATGGTTAAATTTATTGTTAATCTAAAGTTTTAAATACAATGATCATTAATAATCTAAACTTTATGGTATCATTAACAATGTAAATATGGCGATCACCCTGATCCAAATGTTCGCCCATGGTGGCTTTGTGCCTCCTCGTTCCTCAGCACCAAGTCCGGTGATTCTTCAATCCAAGTTAGACTAAAAACATACTGTTTAAGGGAAATCTCGTGAATGCATTTTGAACATAGAATCCCTACACTGTGGAAACGGGCCATTCGGCCTAATGAGTTGTCACCAACCCTCCGAAGAGCATCTCACCCAGACTCATCCCTCTACTTTATCTCTGTAACCCTGCATCCTGAACACTGTGAATAATTTAGCATGGCCAATCCACCTAACTTGCACATCTTTGGACTGTGGGAGGAAACCCAAGCACCCGGTGGAAACCCGCCAAGGGTGAAATCGAACCAAGGTCCCTGACGCTGTGAGGCAGCAGTGCTCACCACTGAGCCTCCATGCTGCAATTCCTCCCCCACTTTCCCTTTAAAATTACCGCATTGATTTTTGAGGAAGTGAAGTCCCATAATATCATTACTAGTTCAAGTAATGGCACAGCTGTGCATTTGATTTCTCAGTCAGAAGTTAATGCATTTAGAATCGTTCCAATCTTCAGTCAGTGATTAATTTAGCCTTTTTGAGCTCTCTGTGTAGTTAACAGTTTGTGATAGCAAAAGGTTTGGAAGTATTTGCTGTATGGTAGGGATGCTGATGAATGGGATTATTTTCCGTTTGCCTCATGCTCTTCAGTCTGAGTAGAGGGTGATTTATCACTACTTGAAGCCAAATTTCAAAGCATTCTTGCCGACTTCAGCTGACCACATTTAAAAGTTAATACCTTAACGGATAATGAGATTGTTATTCTTATTTGCGTCATTGTTCTCTTCGGCTTCAATAACTTAAAATAATTACAACATGCACCATGCATCTCTTCACAACTGTGCTTTTTATAGTACATTGCCAAAACTCTTGATGTAAGAATTGACGTCTTTGAAAAGCAGCTTTTCTGTTAATCTATTGAGTGCAAGATGCATCTTTTTAGCTGAGCTGAGTGACAATTATGCTTTGCCTTTGGTTTACACTCTCTTCTCTGTATTTCCCCTCCTTTTTGATTCTGTGTTCTATAAGATACCCTGGCACACGGGCAATCGAGCGAGGGATTGAACTCCTGATGGCAAAGCAGCTGCCAAATGGGGATTGGCCTCAGGTGAGTGACTACTTTTCTGGAGCAGTTTCCTTAACATTTTGACTTACATTCAGGCAATCTCCTGCTGTGTCATTACAGAATACTGACCTATATTTAAACATGTAAAAAAAAACATTTCGATGGACAATGGTTTGATGTGTCATAGAGTCATAGAGTTATACACCATGGAAACGGACCCTTCAGTCCAACCAATCCATACTGAACATTATCCCAAACTAAACTAGTCCCACCTGCCTGCTCCTGGCCCATATCCCCCTAAATGTTTCCTATTCATGTATCTACCCAAATGTCTTTAAAATGTCGTAATTGTACCCGCGTCCATCACTTCCTCAGGAATTTCATTCCACATGTGAACCACCCTCTGTGTAAAAAAAAATTGCTTCATGTCTTTTTTAGATCTCTCTCCTTTCACCTTAAAAATATGCCCCCTTGTTTTGAAATCCCCCATCCTAGGGAAAAGACAACTGCCATTAACTCTATCTATATCTCTCATTATTTTATAAACTTCTAACAGGTTGCCTGTCAACCTCCTACACTGCAGTGAAAAAAGTCCTAGCCCATCCAGCCTTTCTTTGTAACTCAAACCTTCCATACCCAGCATCATCCTGGTAAATCTCTTCTGAACCCTCTCCAGCTCGATAATGAGCGACCAGAACTGGATACAGTAGTGCAGAAGAGGCCTCACCAATGTGAGCCTTAACATGAGCTATTTATGTGCACGGCATTGAGCCTTGCTAACAATGACTACAACAAATTGTTTCTCTATTAGTTGCATGAGTTTCAAGTTGCTTGGCTATCTGTTCCCATTTATCTACTAGAATATTAAGAACTATTCTTTCCAAACTCCCACTGTTCACCCAGACTTTTATCATTCAATAGTTCTGTTCAATCTGTTGCAATCAATTGTCGCCTCATCCTTCCAAAGTCAGCCTTTTTAAAATTTAAAACCATGTTTCATGACTCGCCCTCCTCTCCTTCCAATCTAATATTGCTCACTGTCATTGAGCTGCTCCCGTGCTGTTAAAATAAAAACTAATTGAAACTCATTGCTTATAATTAAATCTAAAATGACCTGTCCTCTGGTTACTTTAAAAATATATTATTCCAGAAAATTGCCTTAAGTACATTCAAGACGTTTGCTACTTTTGAAACTTCAGCTGTTCTGTTTCTCCAGGTCTCTGTTAATTAAGATTTCCCTTTATAAGTTGTTTTTGTTGCAAGATTCTCTGGAATCTGATTATGTACCCCATTAATTAATTACTGTTGAATAGATGTCTATGATGTTATTTTCGTGTTTTAATTTCTTTCCCTGTCCTGGACCTTAACATTTTACGGTCCTGTTTTGATTTTCCTACAGGAGAACATTGCTGGTGTATTCAACAAAACCTGTGCAATTAGTTATACCTCCTACAGAAATATCTTCCCCATATGGACACTGGGACGATTCATCAGCCTTTACCCGAATAGCGCCCAAGCTATCAAGCTCAAACTGTGACAATGGAAGCTGGTAAATGTGTTCATAAACTCCCAACAGCCCACCCTTACTAGTAGAACACTAGAAACAGTAAGATAGATGACAGTTTAACTTGTAACAATGTGGGAAATGGTCTGCTGCATACGTATTCCTCAGTTGGGTTCTGGATCATTGTGTGTGTATGTGACAAATCCAGCTGTGTAAGACTATAACAAGTTTTAGCAACAAGGCATAGCCACTGGTCCCAAGAAGAGATCCCTGACTGATCAGTTCTGTCTGCCTCAGAGATAGTAGGAACTGCAGATGCTGGAGAATCCGAGACAACAAGGTGCAGGGCTGGATGAACACAGCAGGCCAAGCAGCATCATAGGAGCAGAGAGGCTGACGTTTCGGGCCTAGACCCTTCATCAGAAAAGGGGGAGGGGAAGGGGGTTTTGAAATAAATAGGGAGAGAGTGGGAGG